CGGGATTATTGCAACATCGTTGATGGGTCTTTGGTTTAGGCAGGACCTCCTCCTCATCCTCGTCCTCCTCCTGATCCTCCTCCACCTCCCCCTCCTCATGATCCACCTCTTCCTCCTCCTCCTCCTGCTCCAACTCCTCTTCCTGGTGATCCTCCTCCTGCTCCTCCTGCTTCTCCTGCTCCTCCTGCTCCTCCTCTTCCTGGGGATCCTCATCCTCCTCCTCCTCACCCCCATCCTTCTTTCTGGAGCCGTCTTCACGTTCCCGGGCACACTGGCAGAAGCTCACATCCTCAGAGGGCGGCTGTACACCACCGTCCCAGGCCAGGGCCATCCTGGGCCCTGGGCGGGTGCTGTACGGCCGCTTCCTGCGGAGCCCAATCCTCAAGCGTCCTCGAGCAAGCGCAAGACGTTTGGTTTGCCACTTGCAGCCTCTGGGTCATTTACTCAGTCATCAACGGATGGATGGCAGGAAGGGGCAACATGCGATGATCGATTGACGGAGTGGTCCGGCAACGAAAAGGGACGCAAAGAGATATGCAGATACCAGGCGGCGCCCAAAAGCCAGCCGACTCTGGCCCCAAGTTCTGAATCTTGATGCCCGCTCAGGCCCTGCGACCGTCAAACGAAGCATCCTGGCGAAAAGCTGGTGGGTCCAGAGCTGCACGCCCGCATCTCGAAAACCAACATTCAAGCAATCCGAGATATGTACTCCATTCCTCGAATGGCGAAGATATGTTTCGTTTGGACGTCTTGGTCCATTTCCAGATTTCAAGAACTGTGTACCCTCCGAACTGAGCAAAGAAGTGGCGCGCACAGATTCGCGCATTTCGCACCGCCTCATGACGTGATTTTGTCGTGAAACGTCCGAGCATGTACTGCCAGGAGTTGTGATCGACAACCATCCAAGCACACAATTATGTAGCGTCAAGGACAATATCTCGATGACGCCAGCACCGCCATCGTCGGTCCTCGAAGTCTTCGTTGTCGTCGCCGCCGCCGCCGTCGTCGTCGTCCAAGGTCGTGGGAGGTCGCAGTCGTTGACGAAGAGGGCGTCGTCGTCGCCGCCCGAGGTCGCCGTCGTGGACGTGGCGCGAGGGTCTCGCGGCTCCCAGGCGAGCGGACAGGCGGCCAGGACGCCGCCGCCGTCATCGCCGCCGCCGTCGTCCGTCCTCGGTCGTCGATGCCGCCGCCATCGTCGTCGTCGTCGTCGTCGTCGATGCCGTCGAGATCTTCGGTCCGGTTGACGTCGTCGTCGCCGTCGTCGTCGAGATCGGTCGTCGTCGTCGTCGCAGTCGCCGTCGTCGATCTAGTGGTCGTCGCCGTCGAGGCCGGTCGGTCGTCGTCGCAGTCGTCACCGTCGTAGTTGCCGCCGCCGACGTCAACGTCAACGTCGTCCGTAGTCGTCGCTGTCCGTCGTCGTCGTCGTCGTCGTCGTCGTCGTCGTCCGTCGTCGTCAACGTCATACGTCGCCATCCGTCGACGGCATTGTCGTTTGCATCCTCTGGACATGTCCTGAAAATCATCCTGACCAGGATCTCGAAGCGGATCCAGCTGTGGCGCCGAGGGCCCCCAATCTCGACGTCGTCGGTGTCGTCGCAGTCGTCGTTGCCCTAGTTGTCATCCCTGTAGTTGTCGTCGTCGTTGTCGACGTGTGTCGCCGCCGGCACTCGTCTGCGTTATGGCCGCCCGACGCCGCTCGTCCCCAGACCGCAGGGCCCATCCCGGCCAGCTCCTTGAGCCGTGGCAGCCGCGGCGAAAGTTTCAAAAGCGAAGACTCCCGAAAATCTCCGACAACCTCAGAAAGCCCCCGAACGTGCGCGTTTAGGCCTCCGATGACCTGCCGAAACCTGCGAAAGACTCTGAGAGCAACTTGCGAGAACCGCCGACCACCACCAAATGCCTCCGAACACCTCAGAACAACGCCCGAACACCTGCAAAGCGACGACCCCGCCGACGCCGCCGTCCGCCGCTGCCGCCGTCGCCGCTGCCTTCCAGGCTGCCTGCCAGTCGGGCGGGCGCTCGCAGGTAAAGGCAAAACTGCGTAAACTTAAAAGTTCGACGGTCCGCGCGGATTCCTTGGATCTGAGCTTGACCCCCCTCCCTGGCGGAGCGCGCCAGGGGCGGCGCTGGAGGCGCCGCCAGGGGGGCCAGCGGAGATCCAAGAAATCCGCGCGGACCGTCGGAAGTTCCTGTCTATGCAGCTGTGTCTCCTCCGATCTCACACCCCGCGGGCGCGCGAGGGCGGCGCCGGACGCGCGCGAGGCGCGCGCAGCGCGTGCCCGGGGGGACGCTCGCGAGGGGGACGGCCCCCGCCCCCTGAGGTTGCCAGGCCACAGCTCAGCTCTCGGGCGGCCGCTCGGGACGATCTGGGCAACGCCGGAACGCCTTCGGCGAGGCGCAGCTGCTGGGAAGCACCCCGAGGCTCCAAACCCGCCGAGGCCCCACGAAGACTGCGGGTCGCAGCTGCCGGGAAGCACCCCGAGGCTCCGAAACCGCCGAGGCCCAACGGAAACTCCTGAACACCGCCCCACGGGCCTCGAGGGCGCGCGAGGGGCGGCGCCCCGACGCGCGCGCGCGCAGCGCGCGTCCGGCAGGAGAGCGGGCCCGTCCGCTCACGCCCCGCGCCGGGCGTTGCTCAATGGGGGGGCGGCAGCAGCGGGGGAAGCGTGCCAGCAGAGGGCAGCAGAGAGCCGCAGAGACCAGCAGAAAGCAGTAGAGAACAGCAGGGACCAGCAGAGAGCAGCAGGCACCAGCAGAGCGCAGCAGCAGCGCAGCAGCAGCAGCAGCAGCAGAGAGCAGCAGACGGGAGCAAAGGCTTGCAGAGGCATCTTTCGTGCCGCTCTAGGGCCCTGCAGGGCCCCTTGATGGCACAGGAGGTGCACCTTCCTTCGCCCCCCCCCCCCCCCCCCCAGCCTCATCGGCCCCCCATGACGTAACGCCCGACAGCGGGCGCGCGAGGGGCGGCGCCGGACGCGCCCAGCGGGAGAGCGGCCCCGTCCGCTCACGCCCTGTGGGGCGGGGGCAAGGGCTGGGCGCGCTCCGCGCGGTGGCGGCGGCGATGGCTGCGGCGGTGGCGGCGGCAGCGGCGGCGAGCGAGGGGGAGGGGGAGGGGGAGGAGGACAGAGATAATATCGGGGGCGACGGCAATGATGGTGATGGCAAGTAAGATGGATACTGACGGCGATGGTGATGGTGATGGTGATGGTGATGGTGATGGGGATAGGGATGGTGTGATGATGATGGTGATGGTGATGATGATGGTGATGCTGCTGCTGATGATGATGATGATGATGATGATGATGATGATGATGATGATGATGATCATCATCATGGTGATCATGGTGATGATGCTGGTGATGATGAGGATGAGGAGGAATTACATGAAATTCGCTTGCATCCACAATTTGGAAAACCAAACGGGCCGCCTCGGAGGCTGGCTTCTCGCCCGCTGATGCCGTCCTAACGGCCCTGCCTGGCTCTTGAAGGGCCCTTACGGCCAGGGAGGCCCATGCTGTTTCGCGGACGGTTTCCATGATTTGTCGTTGAACGTGGCAGGATGCATTCGCGGATTCACTAGCGTGGGTCCTCCGTAAAACAATTGCCACACGTCGAACAACAATGCAACGCGCAATTGCGCCAGACATGCATGACGTGCGATGGATGGCGCTCCTTCTCCCAACCGTCACGCTACTCGCCGCCCGAACCACTCCTTCCACACCAGCGAGCAGCGAAAGGTCAGGGGGAGGAGGAGAACGACGAGGAGGAGGAGCAGAAAAAAGAAGAAGGAGAACGCGGATGAGGACGCGGACGAATGTTCGTGGCCTAGGCGCGTGTCCTGGGAGGGCGGACTCGAGTGGTGAGAATCCCATGGGCTTACGATGCGTTCGTGACCTGGGTTCCTGTCGTGGGAGGCCTCACATGGTGAGAATCGCGCGACCCTGCCACACGTTCGTGACCTGGGAGCATTCAGTTGGTCCGAACCCTATGGCACTGCCAATCGTTCGTGACCTGGCGACGCTAAAATGATGAGGGCTCTATAGTGCAGACACGCGTTCGCGACCCGTCAGAATCAGGAAAGTGAGAACCCGATGCCCCTGCCACGCGTTCGTGATATGGAAAGGTAGCAGTATGGAGGATTGTTGAACAAGGGATCGTGGCCGTTGGAACCTCGAATGCAGGCCAGATTGACGCCAGAGCACGATTCCTGCACAAATCGCGGTGAAGTCTCAAACGGAACGCCGATTCCAACAACGCGCCTGGCACCGGCGTCCCACCTCTCACCGGTCCCCCTGTGGGATTTGTTTGTTGCTCCGTGCGCGCAGCAGTTAGATCCCCAGCCTCCTACGCCTTCTCCTCCTCCTCCACCGCGACAGAAATACGAGACTTGCGGATGCCCGCGCTGCGCAGAAGCGCGCCGAGCTTTGAAAGCCTCCAGGCTTCTGAGAATCGGCCAATCCTCAAGTCCACCCCGCGGAGTCAAACAGGAGGCGTTCAAGAATGCGGTATCAGCCCAGACGATACCCGGAGGGCCTCTTGGACCGTCTTGAGGCCGTCCCTGGGTTTTTGTTGAAGCCATCGAGGGCAATGCTCGAACACTCTTGGGTAGTCGTGGACTCTGTGCGGACACTCGTAGGGCACTCTTTGGGGCCGCTGCTCTGTAGCTTTCTACCGCTCCCCCCCTCCCTCCCAGTCACGCTTCCCTTGTAAGGACTGTCCCTGCGCACAGCGCTTGGGCAGCCGAGTCGCTCTCCTGCGAAACACCTCAGGGTCGGCGGGTGTGGTGTAAGCCTGTAGAGCAAATTCTTTTAGGGACCTATGAAGGGGGAATTAACTTGGAGGGAGGGCTTCTTGCAACAGCGTTGATGCGGTTAGGGTGTACACTGGTCATCCTCTTCCTTATACTCCTCCTCCTCCTCCTCCTCCTCCTCCTCCTCCTCCTCCTTATCCCGCTCATTCTCCTCCACTTCCTGCCCCCCCGCCTCCCCGCCTCCCGCGGCGGACGAGCCAGCAGAAGAGAGCACTGCGCGGGGATGGGACGCACGAGGACATGCTAGTACTGTCTGTCCTCCTTGGAGGCGCGCGGCCGGCCCGAGCACTGCAGCAGGACGCCCTGCAGTCAACATGCGGTGCTCCTGTGGCCTCCCGAGCGGTCTAGCCAGACGGCGCCCGCCACGGCGCTTCTACTGCAGGACTTCTCGGCGCGCGCGCGCGCCTTATGGGGGGGGCGACGCAGACCTGGAACTGCAGTGTGTTAGGGGTGACGCCGAGGAGAGCTCGCGAGGGCGCGGACCCCCTGAAGCGCTTCTTGTCTTCGAAGCCGCGGCCTGCGCCCCGCACCACATGGGGGGCCCAGAAGTATACACCACCACCACCACCTCCCTCCCCACCTCCCTCCCGCTGGAAAGAAGAGAGAGGAGGAATCGACGTGGTGGTGGTGGTGGTGGTGGTGGTGGTGGTGTATGTTCTTTGGGCCCCCACCACACACTGAGGCAGCGGGGCGCCCGCCAGCTCTACCAGTGGCGAGCGCAAACGCCGTGCCCCTCGCTGATGTTCCAGCCGGGAAACAGCGGCCCACACCTGGGGGGCGCCGGAGCACGCCGAGCGGCCACAACCGGGGAAGCTGTGCTCCTTTCGGCGGCGAGCAGGCCTGAGGCCTGCCGAGCCTTCTGAAAAAAGCCCGCCCCGCCCACCCAGGGGAATCATCGTATCAACGATCTCGAATCGACGATCTCTCGAGCGGAGTCGAGGCCGAGGGGCTCCCCAAGCGGAGTACGGAGCACAGCTCCCCCGAGTGCGGCGGGCCTGACCTGGCAGGGACGTGCGGCAAGAGAACTCTCGCAGCAGGAAAGCTTGGGGCACCCGCCGTCGCCAACGATGAGCTCTTACCCTCCGGTCCTCAGGGCCGCCGGGGGGAAGGGACGTGAATCGCTGAGGGGCACCTGCCGACAGGCCAGTCTGTTTCTTCTCCCCGACTACAGTCAACCCGTATAATCACGACGCACGATAAGGATGCAAGGGCCTTGAAAGGCCACGTCGGCACTTTGCGAGCGGGTCGCGGCCAGCGAAAGCAGCCAAGGTTGCGCCGAAGGGGAAGGATGAAAGGATAACCGTGGAAAGTCCCTCATCCTTACTATGCGGGTTGACTGTGCTGCAGGATCGAAGACCGAAGATCTGCATAGTTTTTCATGTGGCCAGGAGACTCCCGAGAAAAGGCCGAGATAGATAGGGCCGGAGGACCGCATAGCATCGCCGAAGTACGTCAGCGATGCACCGACGACGTCGGGAGGAAGAACATCGGGCTTCGTATCGCGCTGCATCGCAGAAGCATCGGCGATGCGGCGCGGCGCGATCCTCCGAACCCATCTGCTCTGGCCCCGTGCTGTAAGCTGCCCGGAGCACCTGAAGCCTGGTAGGGCCCACCTCGGCTTGTAGCCCTCGCTTTGGAGGGACGTCGTCGTGCACGGCGGCGGGGTGAGCGGTAGCGACATGTTCGCCGGAGCCAGCATCGCGTCGATCCTGGAGCTGCGCGCAAAAGGGGGATGGGCAGGGCAAGGAAGGCGACCTTCTGAGGAGGAAAGGGGCTTGAAAGGGGGCCTCTGCCCCTCCTGAGTGGCCTCTACAAGGAGGCTTCTCCAGGATGGCGGAGAGGCTTCTCAGAGGCGCAGGACGTGCCTTCCTTAGGGGGTAACTCCTGGGAGGTCTTCGCCCGAACAATTCAAGGCTCGACTAAGGGACCAGTCAGCTGGACGAGCCCAAATTAAGCCCAGGATGGAGCCGGACTTAACGGGATCAAGACAAATTGAATGGGACCAGCCCAGATCTAGCGGGATTAAGCCAGAGTGTGCCAGTTTTCCACCAGGGGTATGCCAGTACTGGTTCAAAGTTGATCTCTCAGGACTTGCATCCTGACTTGTCAGAGGCGCAGGACGTGCCTTCTTACCACAGAGACCTCCAAAATGGGGTCCGAGTAGTTGGGGTCAGAGGACCACGCCGCATCGCCGATGTATTATCGGCGATACATCGGCGATGCATCTTAGACGTCGGCGATGCATCGGCGAAGTCGACGTGGAAAAGTTCGGACTTCACTTCAAGCCGCATCGGCGATGAATTGGCGATGCATCGGCGATGCGGCGCGATCCTCCGACCCCATCTACGTGGAACCCATCTGGGACACCTAGATACCATGAGGCCCAGGCTCGCCCTGCGGGGGCGGCGCGAAAAGATTGCGACGTCAGGATCTCAGTACCCAAGGCCGTTCACAGCGACAGCACAACCGAAAACCGCTCGAGCAGACAGCGAGGACGAAATCGACAAAACCGACAGGCTGCAATCAACCAGAAAAGTGGCAGCGACGCAGCAACGACACGCCAACCGACCGAACATGACAGACCGAACGCAACCGACTCTGACACAGCCGAACCGAAAGAAGCGCCCTTGGGCCCCTTGCCCCCCTTCGCTGGAATGAAGATCAGATGAGACGACGGGGGGCCCACCCCCGACACAACGCAGCTCAGAATGAATCCCTGAACCCCTCCTGGAGTCCATATCTGGCATGTTCTCTCGAGGCTCCCTTGGCACCGCCTGCACCCTGGCCCGCCCTCTGGCCGCCTGAGGCCCCGCCCGCCTGTGCCCTGTCTCCCCAATTAGAGCTGTGCGTAGCCCGCCCAGCTTTTACTGGAAGAGGTTCGCTCTCGCCCCGCAGACCGAACAGTTTTCTCGAGGCGGATCAAGCCGTGGACAGGATTCCCCAAAAGGATGAAAAACAGGAGTCCTGCGGCAACTCATGGAAACCTCCCATACCATTTTGTTGGTTCTTGGGAATCGACGCCCATCGACCCTTAGTTGACGCTAACCGACGTTAACCGACGCTAAACCGGCGCTATCGAACCGATTACCAGACGCTAACCGACGCCAAGGTACTCTGAAGATGGAATTGCGAGGACACACGAGACCCCCACGATTTGCTACCGAACAACAAAAAAAAAGAAGAACGGCCGGGAGGGCCGCCGTTCAAGAGCGGCCCTTCTTGGGGGCGCGCACAGGGGGGGTGGGGAGAGGGAGAGAAAGCTTCTCTCAGGAGACTGCTTCTTAGAAGGCGCCGGCCGTAAATCTAAGGCCCGCGCCCTCAAAAAAGCAGGGATGCTTCTGAGAAGCCTTCCCCCCTACCCCTGCTGACCCCTCTGCGCGTGGCCGACAGGCGCGTGCGCCCCTTAGGCCCGCGGTCCACTCCCGCGCGCCCAAGGGGGCCGGCAGCCCCTCCCACGGCACCGGCTGGTTGGGGCCGCACCCCGCGGCGGCGTCGCAGCCGTCCAAGCACGCGGGGAAGCTCGCCAGGGTGGTGCTGCCCTGCAGTGGGGCGCTGAAGCTTTCGACGTCCATATTGTCACGAATTCTGCGGCGGCGGCGAGATTCTGGACGCTCTCGGGGCCCGGTTCTGGACGCTCGCGGGCCTGAGGCGGGGGCCTCTGGAGGCGCTCGGCCCACGCCTGGACAGACGAGCCGTTTCACGATTCAGGCGCACCTTGTCTGCACAGGCCTTTAGGGAGGCAAGCGCGGCATAACTCCAGAAGGGACAAGACTGACTTGATATTCGAGTGGGGTCATTACTAGCGTTTTCTCGTGATGACATGTCAGCGACCTCCAGAGACCTCCAGAGATGCAGACTTTGCTCGCCTGGAATCGGTACAGAACAAGTGGGCACGACGCCCCAACCGTTGCCCGTTGCCCAAAACCGACAGCGGCGGCTGTTCGACAGGCTACGTTTTGATCTCAAGTCGACAACACCGCGGCGTCACCGACAGCGAGTCCTGCTAAATGGGGTAGAGGCCTCCTAAATGGGGTATGCTAGAGGCCTCCTAAATGGGGTGAGACAGCGTATGCTAGAGGCCTCCTAAATGGGGTCCGAGTAGATGGGCTCGTAGGATCGCGCCGCATCGCAAATGCATGTCCACTGCATCGACCCAGTCGGCATGGACAACATCGGGCTCCACATCGAGTCGCATCGCCGATGCATCGGCGCTGCATCGGCGACCGAATTCACTCGGACCCCGTGAGGGAGGCCTGGATGTTCGCCCCCGTTCTTTCCGTGACGGAACAGTGAATCTGAGCGGCCCGGTCTCTTCCTCTGCTGTGGCCACCGGGGGGGCCGGCCGTGTCCGGCCCCTGGGCCATCTCAAGACGCGCCTGGACGAAAGACTGGTCCACGGGGTGCCCTGCTCCTTCCGATTCCTGATTCCTGACAGCATGGGGATCCAACGGATGCTGCTGCCCCTCCTCCTCCTAATCCTCCTCCTCCTCCTTCTGCTCGGCAGCTGACTGCGCGGCACGGCGAGGGGATCGTGTGCACGAGGGCGCGCGAGGTGGCAAGCAGTGAGCATGACAGGCAAGACATGGAGCTCCAGGGGCCCACGCCACGAGGAAGATCGTGACGCTGGAGGTCTGGGAAGGGAAGGGGCTCTCTCCCCCGACCCTCCACAGTGCTAAACAAAAATGCGCCCTCGAGGCCGATCGACCTCTAAGAACTGCTGAAACCTCGGCTCAAATAAGGATTAAGGGTCCTGGTGCTATGGTTCAGCCCTCCCCTGGAATTCCAGGGCCACGGGATGGGAACATCGGTCTGGAATCCCAAACACTGACTAAGTAGGGATGAATTGCGACTAGGGGCCGATGTCCCCGCCCAGAGCCACATCCCCCTCAACACCGACGATGACTCGATTCCATTCGAGTCGCCAGGCACCCCCTGTATCTCTCGACCTCTTCCCTCAGGACCAGCTTATCATCCTAAACCGTCCTTTGACAGTCCAGCGGGGCTCAGAAATGGCCCCTGGACGCCAAAAATGGAGAAAGACCTCCAGCAACCGAAGATGACGCTCGACATTTGGTGCCTCTTCCAAGTCTGACCCCTGACCTCTCCAGAGCTGAGGTTGGACCAGAATATCGAGGGGACCAGCCATGGTGGCGACAAGGACGCTCCAGAAGTCAAAAGAGAATAGTCCCAACAACGCATCCTAATAACAGGATGCTGAGAAGGGTCCCGAGAGGGTCGTGAGAGAGTTCTAAAAGGGTCTAGAAAGGGCCCCGAGAGGATCCTGATAAGGTCACGAGAAGCTGCTGAGAGGGTCGGCAGAGGGTCGTGAGATTGTCCAGAGAGGATCCTGAGAGGGTCGTGAGACCGGGGAGGGTCCTCAGACTCCTGAGAGGGTCCCGAGACGTCCTGAGAGGATCCTGATGGGGGGCTCCTCAGGGACTGCAGACGTTGAAGCACAAATCCACTGTCCACATGAATATAGACATACGCACATGTGCATGCACACATACACACATGCCCCCCCCCCACACACACATATGTAAACGCAGGTATATACAATTGCATGTGTGCAAGCATGTATGACCGTTAGACATTAGCCGTCGCGGATCCCACATGGTGTGGCATTGCAATGTGGAGGTCTAAGATATGGTGTGTAAGATGTGTGGTGTAACATGTGCTGATTAAGCTTCGCAGCGTGAGCTACGTAGTGCAATGTATCCTTGCGAAGTACGTAGTACAAGCCGTGGTATGCAAGCTATGCCGTGACAGCTGTATGGTGTGAGCTATGGTGTGCAAGCCATGTGGTGTAAACTTTGCGGTGTACTATACGGTGTGAGCTAGACTGTGTAAAGTATGTGGCGTGACATCGGTGTTGTCCGCTTACCCGTGCATCCTATGCTGCAAGCTCTTGTATGTAAGCTATGCGATGTGAGCTATGTGGTGTGAGCTATGCGTGACAAGCTATATGGTGCAAGCTATGTGGCGTAAGCTATGTTGTGCGAGCTATGTGGTGTAAGCGCACGGGGCTTTCGCGAGAGAGCACAGGCGCCAACAAGGCGAACCTCGGAAAACGCACCCAGCGCACGGGGCGCCCACGAGGCGCTTACGAGCGGGCACAGGCAACATCGCGGCGGATCATCGGGGGAAACCCAACCAGCGCCCGGGGCACTCACGAAGCGCCAACGAACGGGCACGGGCGCCAACGCGGCGAATCTCTTGGAAACCCACCCAGCGCACAGGGCTCCACCGAGGCACCCATGAGCGGCCACGGGCGCCAACAAGGCGAGAACCCAGGAAACCCATCCAGTCACTAAAGCATGCCAAATGAGAAACCCTAAGTGCAAGCACTGTGTGGGGAACCCTTGACACCGTGTTAGCTTTTCCATGCTGCTGAGAGGCTCAGCAAAACATGTTGGCACAAATGTGCTGGCAGGATGTGGGAAAGATGCTGGCATGTGACCCCCTGGGAGAGATGTGTGACAGCGTCCGACCTGTTCCAATCGCTCGGACGAAGGTGAGTAGAAAGGCCTTGAAAGTAGGTCGGGCCTCCGCCCGCCCTCTGGAGAGAAAGGACATGGGAAAACCTCTTGACCCTTGAAACAGGAAGGCACCTACCGTGCAGATGAGGGTCCCAACATACAGACTTTCAACGAGCGATGGGCGCGATGATCATCAAGCAAGGCGCTGTCACGGAAAAGACATGCGATCCCGGCAAGGCTCCCTGGCAGCAAGATGCTGAGATGCCCTCTATTTAGAGGCCGCCGGAATGGGGTCTGAGTAGATGGGGTCAGAGGATCGCGCCACATCGTCGATGCATGGGCGACGTCGGCGATGCATCGGCGACGCTGGCGTGGAGAACATCGGGCTCCACATCGAGCTGCATCGGTGATGCATCGGCGATGCGGCGCGACACTCCGACCCCATCTGCAGTCAAGTCGCACAATAAGGATGCTCGGTGAGGATGCAGGGGCATTGGGGGGCCATGTTGGCGCGTTCGAACGGGATTGGCCAGCGGAAGCCGCCGAGGATGGGTCGAAGGGGCAAGGATGCAAGAGTAGCCTTGGGAAGTTGCTCATCCTTACTTGGGAAGTTCGACCCTACTCGGGAAGCCTAAAACTTACAGAAGCATACAGCGAGACGCCACTGGGGAGCCCTCCGTGCTCTGGCGCCCCCCAGCCTCCGCGGGCGCCCAGCAGCCGAAGAGCACGCTCCACAGCCGCTCCAGGGCGTGGCCGTACCTGGAGGCCGCTCCGAGACTGGAGAGGGAGGTCCTCCTCCTCCACCTCCTCTCCCTCTTCCCCCTCGTCTTCCTCGTCCTCCTCCTCCCCCTCCTCTTCCTCCTCCTCCTCCTCCTCCTCCTCCTCTTCTTTCTCCTCCTCCTCCTCCTCCTCCTCCTCCGCCTCATTCATCTAGTCGGCATCCGAAGCTCAGGATCGCGCTCGACAGTACGTAGTGCAGCACTTGCACTCGGCCGGCTCTCGAGGGACCGCCACAGGTCACAGGGCAGGAGGGAAGGGGGTCCCTACTTCTGTATACTTACCTTTCCCGCCTAGAACGTGAATCGCAATGTGCACGTCTTCCTCCGTTAAGACGTTTGTGTGACACTTTGCTTGCGTGACACCCTCGGCCCAGAAGAAGGCTGCGAATAAGACGCACGCACGCCAGGCACGCGCAGAGGCAGAAGCAAGGCTGGAGCCTCCCCCCGGATTGGAATCCTCCTCCTCCTCCTCCTCCTCCTCCTCCTCCTCCTCCTCCACCTTCTCCTCCTCCTCCTCCTCCTCCTTCCCCTCCTCCTCCTCCCCCCGCTCTGCTTACCCTTAGATCCAGCAAGGCTTGAGGCTGCAAAACCGGCTGGTCTGGCTCATGTCCTAAGGCGGCCCCCGGACACAGCGAAGGGATGAGGGTACAAGCCCGACTTGTCTGGCTGTCGCTCCACGGCAAGAGGGGAAACGGGAGTCAGATATTAGAACGTTCAAGCCTCAAGTTGCTCTCCTCCTCTCAATTGGAACGCGGCTGGCAACTACTTAACTCTTGCAACGCTGGAAAAGCCACAGGAGGCAACGGCAAGCCTGGAGGGCCATGAAGCAGATACAAATATGGAGCACACAGAGGCCATAGTTAACAATGGGCATCTGTTTCACCAGCCACACGTTCTTTCGCAACGCGTCGTACCACGCTCAACGAGGTTAGACATGGAATCGTGTCACTGGATTCCAGGATAGAAACATTGGAAGAAGAGGATCTTTCGATCGCAGTGGCCGGAAACAACCTCGAACACACAGAGGAGCTCAACAACATGCGTCTGGATGTGTCAAAGAGGCTGAGGCTATAAAGAAACAACTATTGCACCTGAGCAGTTGTTAGATCACCATTTTCGACTCCTTTGAAGAGCTCAGACCAGGCAGTGTGGTGGATGACTGATTGGAAGATTTGTCGACAAAAACCCAAGAATGTGATTGAACGCTTGAAGCTGTCATTGCTGTCACCACCAGCCGGCACGCATGTGGCGCATCGTTCAATTGTTATTCCCCACGTCCAAAGGGGGGTTCTTGTTTTCTCTGGACACCACGCGCAGGAACAGGAACCCACCATCATCATCATCACTCATTCCTCACTCACTCACTCATCATCCCTCACACATTCACTCACTCACACACTCACTCACTCACTCACTGACCCATCAGCACTCACATATGATGATGATGATGAGTGTGCGCGTGAGAGAGTGTGATGATGATGATCATCATCACCAGTCAGTCAGTCAGTCAGTCACTCACTCACTCACTCGCCTTGGGCTTCGTCTGTGAGTGAATTATGAGGAAGTCCCAGGCGGTAGCCCCCTCCCTATGGGGCCCGCGGATTATGTTACTAATCCGAGCGGGTCATCGGAAACCTGTAACTGTCGTCACTTTTGGGCTCCTCAGGCCTGAATTTGGAGGAAGTATGAGGCGGGGGCCTCGCCTGTAAATTGCGAGGAAGTCTCAGGCGGGAGCCCCTCCCTATAGGGCCCGCGGATTATGTTACTCATCCGATCGGGTCATCGGGATCCTGTAACTGTCGTCACTTTTGGGCTCCTGAGGCCTGAATCTGGAGGAAGTCTCAGGCGGGGGCCTCGCCTGTGAGTGAATTGCGAGGAAGTCTCAGGCGGGAGCCCCTCCCTATGGGGCCCGCAGATCATTTCACTAATCCGAACGGGTCGTCGGACTCCTGTAACAGTTGTTAATTTTTGGGCTCCTCAGGCCTGAATATGGAGGAAGTCTCAGGCGGGAGCCTCGTCTGTGAGTGAATTGCGAGTGAATTCGTGCTCTCAGAACACCATTCCCAGGCCACATTTTGAATGCCTGGAGCCAACTGTAGGCCACTTCGTGTTCGTCGTGTTCCCAGAGCGCTATTCCCGGCACGTATCCACCGGGACGCACCCCTGTGCGCTTCCTCTGGGTCGTGCCCCCGCACGTGCCAGGAGAAAAGGGAGAGGGGCACGCCAAACAGATTATCATGTGGGGTCCTTCCGTCGGAGTAATTGAGGGAGAGAGTGTGGGTGAGAGAGAGAGAGTGCTTCGCTTCCGCTGGATTCGCCCCTCTCCCGTCCTTTGCGTCCCCAGCTTCTTGTCTTGCGGCGTGGGGGACCACGGTTCCCCCTCCCCTCCTGACTTTCCTGCCTCCCCTCCCCCCCCCCCCCCCCCCGCCTTCCCCTTTCCCCCCCCCCCCCCCCCGTGGTCCGGGACAAGAGCTCGTCTCACCAGGCGGGCCATGGCACGAGGGGCTCTCGGAGGGTGCAGTGGCGCATGGCCCCCTCGGGGGGGTTGTGCGTCGCGGCCTGCTGCTCCCTCCCCTCTCCTCACGTGTGGCGGCATGATCGGTCGAGCAACGGAGTGTCCCTCCGCCGACGCCTCTGCGGCCAGGCTATCTGCCCCGCCGCTTCGGGCAGACAGGCCCGCGTGTGCAATCGGAGGGCCATGCATCCATGCACACTGCGAGGGGTTCTGGCCGCTTCCATTTGGTAGGAACTTGCTCCCTAGCGGCCCCACCGTACCTCACCCTGCCTTACCTTTTTGTACCTTACCTGACATTACCGTACCTGTCCTTGCCTTACCTTACCGTACCTTACCTTACCTCCTCCCCCTCTTTGGTCAACGCTGTGTCTCCTCTCCTCCTCCTCCTGCCTGGAGGCCGCCTGAGGTCTCTGAGGGGGCCCGGGAAAATTCTGAATGCCTCCACCTCGGCCGAAATCATCATCGTCGTCATTGTGGTCATCATCACTACCGTCCTCCTCGTCCGCCGCACTCCTCCTCCTCCTCCTCCTCCTCCTCCTCCTCCTCCTCCTCCTCCTCCTCCTCCTCCGCCTCCTCCGCCCTCCTCTCCGAATACTTCCTTTGATCCTTCCCATCCCCACTCCCGCCCCACTGGCCCCGGGGAAGGGGTCGGGACCTCCCGGACCGTGGGCTGAGACCAAAGAACACAGGGCGTCGGATGGCTGGGAAGACCCCTGCCCCCGCCAGGCAGCGACGAGCTGCGCGGGTCACGATCAGCGACCTCGGCTGTGGCTCCTGGAGCGGTGGTGTGGTTTCAAAGCGGCCTCCAAGCCGGTGGGCTCTCAAAGGTCTGGCCAGGGCGCCATCGCCCCCCTTGGGACGTTCTGAAAACAGAGCGGGGCTCAGCGCTGTGTCGCTGCCTTCCCACTCCAGAAATCCCCCCCCCGTAAAACAGAAACTATGCTCGGGGCCTCGATCCTCTGAACAATGCCGAAAAATGCCAAAGGTAACCGACAGCGTCAGACTTCGAATGCTCGATCAGGCAACCGCGTCAGAACACCCCACCTCTGCAGGTCAGACTTCCGAAACGCCAGCGCGGGCTCAGAATCCGAAGGATGTCCGCACTCAGGTGGGTCCCAGCAGGGGTGCCCGACACCCCAGCGTCGATTAGACCCCAAGGGTAGGGCTCGCAAGTGGCCGTAGATCGATCTTCGAGGGCGTCCGACAGGGTGGCGTCCAAGACGGAGGGTTGCAAATCATGGCCCGAGGCACGTGCGCGGCCCCGGGGGGGGGAACAAAAGGCACGTGCACAGCACGTACTGGAACACGAAGAAGCGCCATGAAATCCGCCGATCCGGCGTGTGAGTTTCAAGGAGTCTCAGCTACAGCCTCGAGGCTGAGCCTCAGCCTCTGGGAGGGTTGCCGGGGTGGCTCTGCCGGGGAAGGGGGGGTGGAGGGGGGGGGGGGTGCGAGTTTCCGGCGGATGCGGGGTGGGAGCGTTTTTTGACACCCCTCACAAGGATCGTGGCCTCAGAGGGGGTTCCGAACTCGAGTACCAACCCTCCCGAACCAAGAAGCTCCGAAGAGGCCTCCAAGAGGCCCCAAGGGGCCCAGAAGAGGCCCCCAAGAAGCCCCAAGAGACCCCCAAGACACCCCCCAAGAGACTCCCAAGTGGTCCCAAGAGGCCCAAGAGGCCCCCAAGAAGCCCCAAAAGGCCCCCAAGAGGCCCCCAGAGGTCCCAGCCAACCGCGAGATCACAACCAGCGTCCATGAGGCCTCTGACCCACCACCCACGCACGGTGGCGGGATAGGCCGAAGGCCAATGGATCCGCCGCCCCCTGCTTGCAGGGGTGCACGGCGTGCTGGACGTTTCAGGTTTTGGTTTTGGTTCTTTTTCTAAAAGAACTCCCCAGTGGGCTTCGGCCCGTCCCGCCGGCCACCCGTAATTTTCCCAAAATCCGTCTGTCAATGCCTTTGTTGCCCCAACTTGGCCCAAGATGGCCTCCAAGACGGCCAAGATGGCCCAAGATGGCCTCCAAGATGCCTCCCAGACGGCCAAGATGGCCTCCAAGACGGGTAAGATGGCTCCAAGATGCCTCCAAGACGGCCCAAGATGCCCTCCAAGACGGCCAAGATGGCCCCAAGATGCCTCCAAGATGGCCCAAGAGGCCTCCAAGACGTTCTCCAGGAGAGCCCGAAGAGGCCAAAATCATTGGTTTTCCTTAGGTTTTTGAAGGTTTTTTGCGTTTTCTTCTTTTCGGCCTTCCGACGGCCCAAGAGGCCCCCAAGATCGCCCAAGAGGCCTCCAAGAAGGCCCTATGACGGCCCAAGGGCCCCCCAAGACGGCCCCAAGAGCGCCCCAAGACGGCCCAAGAGGCCTCCAAGACGCCCAACATGGCCTCCAAGACGGCCCTGAAGCGCCCCAAGAGGGCCCCAAGACGGCCCAGAGAGGCCCCCAAGACGGCTCCAGACGGCGTCAGACGGACCAGGAACGCCCTAAGACGGCCAAAGAGACCCCCAGGAAGCCCCCAAAGGCCCCCAAGAGGCCCAAGGAGGCCCCCAAGATGCCTCCAAGAGGCCTCGAAGAGGCCCCCAAGAAGCCCCCAACAGACCCCAAGGGTGCCCCAAGAGACTCCTAACAACCCTCATCCTCCTACTCTATTTCTTCCTCTTCCTCTTCCTGTTCATAATCATTCTCTCCCATGTGTTCCCCGAAAGCTTTCCAAACCGACTCGGGGAACTCATGGTCCGATAGCTTGGCCAAGCTCTAGTCCAACTTTCGGCCACATCGGCGTTTCCAAAAAGGCAGGGGGCGGCGGTGATTCGCCGTAGGCGTCTTCGATAAATGCGGACTGAGAGGGGGAAGGAAGGGAAAAGAGAGGAGGGACGAGGGCGAAGGATGATCACATCAGTCCGAGCACCCCGGATCGGCGGCACTGGCCGAAGGCCACTACAATAGGTGGTGATGTCAAGGCACCGGCAATGACATGCATCCCGCCCCTGGTCATCACCCCGCCTTCCTCGCCGCCCCGGAGCAAATCGATCCCCCCCTGGGGGCGCATCGACTTGCCGGTCTGCTCGGAGCCCAGCAGCTCCAGGTTGTACCGCAGCAGCCAGGGCGGCACGCGGGCCGCCCGCTGCTTGGACACCTCGGAGGGCCGCGCGGGGGGGCGGGGGGCGGCCTCCCACGTCTTGGCCCGGCGAGGAGGGGCTCCGCCGTTCTCAGGGAGGCCGGGCGAGCAGCAGCCCTGACGCGCCTCCTCGACCTGGGCCTCACAGGGGGCCACTTTTCGGAGCTGGGGGTAGCCAGAGGTTGCCCCGGATCCCAGAACATGCTCTGGGGAGGGGGATCGAGACCTCCTGGACCCGCGGATCGAAACACAACGAATCTGCAGTGTGGCATCCCAGGGCGTTCTGGAAGGCACAAGATACTCGCGCGGGGGCGGTGGCCATAAAACGCCCCAGGAAAGAGGTCGGCTCTGGGCCCCCCGTTTTTGGTGCATCATTCCGCGCTTCTGTGCTTCTGGGTGCTCACTCCCCCGCCTCGTCGTCTTCCTGCCCCATGCGCTCTCCGCATGCCCATGTCGGCACACCCCTTCTGCGCTTCGTGCCCCCATAAGGAGCTCTAACTACGGCCTCAGTGGGCGCGCGAATACGCCCTGGCGCGCCCATTGCGGCGCACCCCTCACACGCTCCGTACCTGCAAGAGAACTCCACATGCGGCTTCACTGGGCGCGCGCGTTTGCCGCACCCCGCCCATTTCTGGCACAACCGTCACACGCACCGTGCCGCCCCTAGGGAGCTCCACCTACGGCTCCAATAACGGCGCGTGCCTAGGCCGCATCCTGCCCAGTTTGGCACGTTCCTTCCAAGCCTCGCGCTCCCATATGCAGCTCCACCTACGACCGCAGTGTTCGCGTGAGTATGCTGCGGCGCGCCCATTTCGGCTCACCCTTCACCCGCTTCGCACCCCATGCAGAGCTCTATATACGGCTCCAGGGGGCGCGCGCGGTTGCCACACCCCGTCAAATTTTCGAGCACACCCCTCACATGCACTGTGCCCACATCGGGAGCTCCACCTACGGCCTCAATCAGCAGGCGCGCGCGCGCACATGCCGTCCAACGTCCGTTTCAACGCCGCTCTCACTCGCTTCGTGCCCCATCGAAAACTCAACCTACGGCCTCAGCGGGCGGGCGCGCATGCCGCCCATCACCCATTACTGCACGCCCCATCACGCGCCTCGTGCGCCGACAGGGGGCTCTACCGTTACCTTCAACCTCGCGTGGGGTGGGTGTATGCTGCCTCGCGTCCATTTCGGTACACCCCTCTCACGCTGCATGCCCGCAACGACTTGGACTCCATACAGCCCGGCCCTGCGTTACACGCAGCTGCAAAAGGGTAGGGCGTTTCGTTGGGCTATTCTCAGTGGCGCTTATACACATACACATGCACAGTAATGTGCATATATATATATATATAGATATGTAGTTATGTGTGTATGTACTCATGTGTGTGTGCATGCAGCCATCATACGACCGTGAGGTGTGCCAGAGCTGAAACGAAAGGGTTTCCTGGTCAGGGAGGGCATCTGCCACGATGAGTCTGCCCCACCTCGGTCTGAGAAGCGGCCCGACAAAACGGGAGCCCCTCCTGAACCCAGAGCGAACAGCAGGTCATCGTCTTGACCGTACGACGTCAAGGGTCGGGGTCCTCGTCGGTCGAGGATTCGGGCCGCCCTCTGCCCTTCTCGGGCATCCAGTCCGGGGGGCGGGGAGTGCGTCGTGTCGCCACCATGGACGTGTACCCTGCGGATCTTGTGGTGTCGGGGCGCGGCGCCGGCAGAGCCCCCCTACGACGACGACGACGACGACGACGACGACGACGACGTCGACGACGACGACTCACCGCAACCCCTTGAGGTCACAGGAGGCGAGTGTCCCAGAGTTCCCCCGCGGAGGACCCCAGAGGCTCCAGGAGCCCGAAGACGGCCCAAAGACGTCCCAGGATCTCGATCTTCTAGCCTCGCCCCGCCTCCTTTCTCCTCCTCCTCCATCCTGCACCCTTCTCCTCGTCCTCCCTCATCCTCGGCCTGGAGGTGGCCGAGCCTTGAGGAGGACCCAGGCCTCTGACGTTGTGTTCTGTTTTGGCCCCGGTGCACGTCGGCCTTTTGGGCCAGCTTTTTTCGGGCCCCCTGGGGGACAAAACCACATCCTCTCGTCCTCGGGAAGGGGCCTAGGGAGCCGTCAGTGCGTTTGGCCAATCCAGCCTCGTCAAGCGTCGTCGCGCGTCGAGCATCGAGCATCGAGCGTCGAGCGTCGAGCGTCGAGCGTCGAGCGTCGAGCGTCGAGCGGCGTCGTCGTCGTCGTCGTCGTCGTCGTCGCCGCCGCCGCCGTCGTCACCGCCGTCGTCGTCGCCGTCGTCGTCGACGATGGTCCGAGCGGTGTGGTCGTCGGGCGCGTCAGACGGGCGGACCCCAGCGGGCCAATTGGGCGGGCGGACACCGTCAGGTGGGCCAGTCGGGAGGGATGCTCGAGCAGGCGGGCGTGCGCTCGAGCACCCCGAGTAGGCGGACCCGATCGGGCGGGGGCCGACGGGTCGGGCGGGGGGGGCCCATGCGGGGATGCTCCAGCGCACTGGCGGATCGAGAGCTCCAGAACCCGCACCTTGAAAGCGCCCACGCATCGGAGGCTCCTCAGAAGGGCCCTGCCCCCTCTTCGAGACTTTCGGGGCTTGAGCGCTGGAGAGAAGCGGGGCGCCTTCCTTGAAGGCCGCCCCCCTCGCCGAGCCCCCTCGGGGGGGAGGGGACTGCAAGATACTGATACGGCTACTCCCCGACCTCTCTCGGGGCTTGTTCTGACAAGGATTCCGAAGCTAAGCCAGCCGATGAGACGAGGAACCCCAGAAGGCCCAGAATCACGAAAGCAAGGAACGGCCATCGGTATCCGTGTGCTATCTCCTCTGATCCGGCGCGCCGCCGAATACTGGCATCTGCCCCCTAACCCTGGTGATCCTCGACTCGACCTTCCGCTGGCTTCTGCCGTCCTCTCGCCAGCTTCCGCCTGCGGAGCCCCCCTCATGTTGCTTCCACCTGCCTCCGCGGGCCTTCCGCCGCCTCCGCTCGAGGAAGAGAAGGCGCATTCTCGACCCCTCGAGTGCGAAGCCTTCTCTGCAACGCCCCAACCAGCATCCCCCCGAAGCCTGTGATCCACGTGCCTCCGCCAGCTTTCGCCGACGAAGCCGCCCTCGTTTTGCCTCCGGTGGTTTCCGCCGGCCTTCTGCCGCCTGCCGTCGAAGAAGACAAATCATCTCTTCGACCCCTCGAAGGCGATGGTCTTTCTGTAAAGCCCAAGGCACCAGCATCTGCCCCCTGAAGCCGGTGATCCACGAGCTTCTCGACTGGTTTTGCCGCGTCAGGAAGCTGAACATGTTCTGAGTCTGCATCGCACGCTTCTGGACGCCATGGTCGTGGAGCCGCCAGCAAGGGGGGCAAGGAGCGGCAAAACGGACCCTCCCCAAAGAAAGCAAGAACATCTGCAACGAGTCGCACATCAAAAGGTTCGGCCAACCAGCCAAAATGAAGAATAATTACTCGGGAAAGGCAGGTGATCCCCTGCGCAGTCTTGATAGAAAGACATAGCGTAGCACGCCCCATGCGCCGGATGAACCAGTTAAAGCAATGTCAATGGAAACGAGGCGGAGCGGAAGGAAAACAGGACGACCACCAAGGAGGAAAAACAGCATTAGACGGCAGCGCCGAGGGTCTCCATAGGACCGCGCTCCGCTGGAACCCCAGGAGCTCACGACAGAGCCGACGATTGCACAGCTGCCAGCGCCCAGCCAGGGGAATACTGGTTTGGATCCCCGCAGGGACGCACTCCGCTGCGCCCCCCCCGCTCCATCAAGCTCACGAAAATGGCTGCACGGCCAAGGAACCCAGGTCTCGCCTGCGTCCCGCAAGACGCCGCCCCGCCGACCCTCCCACGAGCTCGCGAAAGTGTCGTCAGGCGCGCTTTGTTGGGGGGCAGCATCCACGGAGCGCGAGGACTCGTCTGGAGCCCAACGTGACCGCACTCCGCTTGACCTCCTGGGAGCGCAAGAGAGTGGTGACGATCACGGACTGAGTTTGCAGAAGTCGAGGAGGGCGAGGTCTCGCGTGGATCCATCCCCACAGGACTGCACTCCGCTGGACCTCCCATGGGGCTCAGGAAAATACACCCCTGCTTAGTTAAGAAACTCTACGCTAAGACAATGAGCTTTACTCCTAGCGTTTGCTTACACGGTAGCCCAGGCCTGGAGATACAAGCGCTATACGAAACTAAGCCAACATTACCCCAGTGCGACCCTACCTAGAAGTCGGAGCCCCTAGGAAAGCAGCATTAGTTGCTATGCTATGCTATGCTACGCCATGCTATGCTGCGCTATGCTATGTTATGCGATGATATGTTATGCTGCGCTATGCTATGCTATGCTGTGCTGTGCTGTGCCGCGCTGCGCTATGCTATGCTATGCGATGCTATGATATGATGCGCTATGCTATGTTATGATGGACTATGATATGATATGTTATGCTGCGCTATGCTATGTTACGCTATGCTATGCTATGCTGTGCTCTGCTATGCTAAAGTTCAGCGAAGCTAAGATGAAGGTCCGCTAAGTTAAGATAAACCTGAGCTAAGATGCAGCAACGCTAAGCTAAGATAAAATAAGCTAAGCTAAGATGAGATAAACACCGCTAAGCTAAGGGGACGTAACTGGGGGAACCGCGGGGCGGATACTGGGGGAACCGCCAGGGGCGAGTTGCACTGCCCGGCCCTTTGAACGCAATCTGGAACCTATGGAAATGTATGTCTTTTTGTTCACAACACCCAGGGAGGGCGAGTTGCCGTTCGGGCCCCTACTGAGCTCACAAAACGCCGCAGTGCGCGCACGCGTCGCATCACGCAGGCGGGGCGGGGTCTGCTTTGGTTTCCAGCATGACGTCACTCCGCTGAGCCTCCCAGGAGCTCACAAAAGTGGCCACCGTTGCGCAGCTCGCACACCCAGGGAGGGCGAGGTCTGTCTAGCTTGGGTGCCGCATGTGACGTCACCTCGGTGGCCCTCCTTCAAGACCATGAGAGTAACGATTGCTGCGCAAGTCGCACCACCCAGGGGGGGCGAGGTCTAGCTTGGGTCCGCGTACGACGGCACCCCGCTGGCCCGCCCACAAGCTCACGGAAGATGCGGCCGATGCGCAGTTCGCAAGGCGAGGTCCAGCCTGGACCCCCGTATGATGTCCGCCCCCATTCCCTCACGAAAGAAGCAGCAGTCACGCACTTCACACCGTATACACATACAATTCGAATGATAGACAAGCACATACATGTACATAAAGGTCTTCCGCGAAAGGACATAGTGGCCTTCCGCTCACACGGGCCGCTAGCGCGGCACACCACGTGGGAGCTAATGCGCCCACAAACGGCCTTACGCGGGCAACTTGCGCGCACACATCCGCTCAGTCGACCCGTTTCTCGTACGTCGCTCTATGTGCTGTCACGTACCGAGAACGGAATAGTTAGGAGTCGAGCGGGGCACAGTTGCGGAACAGGGTACTCAGGGGACTCTGCAAGCAGCGCCAAATTGCCATGAGTAGGGCGACACTGCCACTGGTAGAACAACTGCCTCGAGCGGCGCCGCAAAGGTGAGGGCCGGTAAGCAGAAGCGGGACTCTGATTTGGGCGCCCTGGCGCCCAGAGCGACCAGACGACCGTGGCTATGGTGGCAGTCCCAGCCGCACCCTCCGTAGACGAAGGGACCCCTGTCCGAGCAACCGGCGAACGAGAGGGGAGCAAAGCCGAAGCCGGCCGACGCCCACTGGCTCGCGTACTCCAGCACGTCCAGCTGGCCCGCGTGCCACTCCACTTCGCCCTGCAGGAGCACCAGGGCACCTTGGTGGCGCACACATCTGCAAGCAGCACCAAAAATGGCCAGGCCAACCCTGGACCCAAGGTCGATGGATGCGCCCTCTGGACCCGCCTGTGAGAGCACGTGCGCCGATCTTGGCCTCTGGATTGGCCTTGGTGAACGGCTGGCGTTCGCCGAGCATGCCGCGAACAAGGGGGCATCGCGAAGGGGGTGGGCTCCTGAAGAATAGAAGGGATAAACGACTCACTGATAAACTTCCGAGGGTCTACGAGGAACTTGGGTCAGCGCTGGGCTCCAGTGCGGAGCGCGCCAGGGACAGCGCCAGAGGCGCCGCCAGGGGGGTCCAGCGCCGATCCAAGAAATCTACGCGAATCCTCGAAAGCGGCCTGGGTACCGAAATCGACGCGAATCCTCTGATGCCGCTTCTTCTTCTTCTTCATGTTTTGTTGACCTTATCAATTTATATTGGTGTGTTTATCTTTCTAGTGTTATGGTTATTATATCACTGTCACGATTACTGCCATTAGCATTTGCGTTGTCTAGTCAATCTACAACTTCTGATCATCATGAATCGGCTTCTCCGGAAGGAGGTGTGGGCTGGGCGCTTCTCAGAAAGGGGGGCCCCTCCCGAGAGGCCTCCGCAGTGGGCTTCTCACGAAGAGCGGGGGAGGGGCCTCCGGGAGGTGGGGCGTCTTCCCGGGACGCCCCCCACCCCTAGCCCTGCCCCTGCGCTGCCCGCCGCTGAGGAGGCTCCTTTCGGGGAGACGCAAGACTCGGGTTCGGGGGGCTCGGGTTTTAGCGGGCGAAGAACGGTATACTATAAGAACGGTTCCCGCCGTCGTGGACGCCTACCCCCCAGACGGCTGAAAATCCCACCAGCCCTTGACGGCGTAGGTGGTCTAGGGTGTGTTGTCTTCCATCTGCCCCACTTACACTTCGGGGATGGTCTTACCCCTCTCCCTACCCCCTCCCCTGGACCTGGACGGGGAGGGGCGGCGAGCGGTCAGAGCGTCCAAGACGGCCCAAGATGGCTCCAAGAGCGCCTCGGAGACCCCAAGATGAGCTCCAAGATGGCTCGATATATCCCAAGATGCCTCAAGATGGTTCCCAAGATGCTCCAAGAGGCCCCAAGACTGCTCCAAGACGGCTCCAAATGGCCAGAGAGCTCCCCACGGAGGCCCCGAAGAGGCCAAAAACCTTCCGAAACCTGCGGACAATCAATGTTGTTTGCTTTCTCGCCTTCTCACTTCCGATGGCCATCCGATGCCTCAAGATGGCTCCAAGATGGCCCGAGAGGGCTCCAATAGAGGCACAAAAGAGCCCCAAGACGGCCCCAAGAGCGCCCAAGAGCGCTCCAAGAGCGCCCCAAGAGCGCCCCGAGAGGCGACTGTTGGGCCTCTCGAGGGGCAACGCTGATGAAAGCTCCCCTCTTGTTGGATCGGTGTCTTCCAAGATGGCCCCAAGAGCGCCCCAAGAGCGCCCCGAGAGGCGCCCAGGAGGCCCCAAGAGGCGCCCAAGAGGCCTCCAAGAGGCTCCCAAGAGACCCCCAAGAGGCCCCTAGAGGCGCCCAAGAGGCACCCGAGACGCTCCAAGAGGCCCCCTGGGCGGCCGAAAGGCCCCCAAGGGGTAAGAGAGGCCCAAGAGAGCCCCAATACGGCCCCAAGAGCACCCGAGAGTGTCCAAAGAGCGCTCCAAGAGGGACGCTTCCTCTAGGTGCTGTCCACTTCCCTGATCGAAGCAACTCCTCTGGGCATCGTCTCTGGATGGGCTGGTAGGGTTACTTTTGGCCCGCGGGCGCGCGAAGCGATTCGAACGCCGAGCCTGCTACGGCGGGCCGCGCCGGTAGCGAAGAGAAAAAGCAGCGAGCGACGGCACGCTAAGGACCGCGAAACCGACCAGGCGGTGAGCAAGCAGCAGAAGAGCGTGCGCTGGTGGGGTTATTTTTTGGTCGGCGGCTCCGAGGCAACGGACAGGGAGCGGAAGCGGCGTCCGGGTCACGGTACGGGGCTAATTGCTGGTGGGGTTAGGCGAAGCGTCTAGAATTTAGAACCCTACGTGTCACCGTAGGGGCAAAAACTTTCAGCCGCCTGGGGGGCAGGCGTTCACGACGGCGGAAAAGTTCTGTTATACCTCTCATCGCCCCCTGAGGATTAGCCTGACGGGGCGATCATGAAAATGGCGAGACCCAGTCAGAAATCTGACGCGAGCTCCCGCTGCAGACACCCCACGAAACCTGGACCGTCAAAGCCCAGGGCGCGCTCATCAAAAAGCCTCGGCAAACCCGAGTTCCGGCGTCCTCGAGCCTTACGTTTCCCCGATCCCTCCCACGATCACGAACTTGGACGCCCGAGTTACCCGGGGTAACTCGGGTCCGGGGTAACTCGGGCTTGGGTTCCCGAAAAAACGAACCCGAGTTAGCCCTGACCCGAGTTACCCCTGATGATTTTGGGGCTCTGGACGCCCGAATTATCCGGGGTAACTCGGGTCCGGGATAAATCGGGTTCGGAATCCCGAAAAACGAACCCGAGTTAGCCCTGACCCGAGTTACCCCTGATGATTCGGGGCTCTGACGAACGGTCATGCGGCCAGGCACTTTTGCGCAGCGTGTGGCGGCGGCGGCCCCGGCGACACGCCACGCCCTGCGAGCCGAGAGCGCGCCGCTCCGCTATAGCGGGGCGGGAGGCCGGGAGAGGCTCGGGGCGCGGACGCTCGGGGCCCAGGACGGCAGGCAGCGCTTCGCTCCGAAGCGGTTCTTTGAAGGCAGATCTGCCTTCAAAAAATGGTTTTTTGAAGGCAGATCTGCCTTCAACTTCAAAAAACCATTTTTTGAAGGCAGATCTGCCTTCAAAAAACGGTTTTTTGAAGGCAGATCTGCCTTCAACTTCAAAAAACCATTTTTTGAAGGCAGATCTGCCCTCAAAAAATTGTTTTTTGAAGGCAGATCTGCCTTCAGAAAACCGCTCTGGCAAGCCAATCGGGTGAGGAGGAGCCGAGAACCTCCGAGATCCTGCGGCTCGGCGGCGCTGCGGCTCCTCCATCCTCCTCCATCCTCCCTCCTCCTCCTCCTCCTCCTCCATCCTCCTGGAGCCTCGGGCCCCCGCCCCGCACGGAAGCCACCCTTCCTGACAAGAACTGTTCACGGATTCGTTCCTCCGTCGGTGAGCACCAGAGGCACTCGGCGAGCGGAACCGCTCCTGGTGGGCGTGGAGGTGGTGGAGGAACGTGCCGCCCTCCCTGCCGATGTTCGAGAGGAGCTCGACCCGGACGCAGAGCGGTAACCCCGGCGGGATGTTCTGCAGGGGGTCCTCGCGGTCGCACTTGGTGTACAGGAAGACGACGGCGGCTGCGCAGTCGACCTCCCTGACCCAGGTGAAGTCGTCGTCGCAGTAGCCCGACAGCACCACCTCGATCGGCGCGGGGGTCGCGCTCCTCTTCGAGTAGAGCTGCGCGGCCCCGTTCCCGCTTCGCTCGCAGGCGCCCCTGAGGAGGGTGCAGCTCAGGGCGGACTCCCGCCACGAGAAGCCGAGGCACTCGCCGTACATCAGGCACGCCGTCCCGCACGTGCGCAGGCTCCCGCTGATTGCCGACAGGCCCAGCTGGCTGTCTGGCTGCTCTGGACACGCCTCCACCGAGCGGACTCTCGCAAAGTATGGCACCAAGTCGCCGTCCAGGTCGGCATCGCCTCCCGCGTTCTCCTTTCTCAGGGACCTCCGAGATGGGGTCGGAGTAGATGTGGGCGGAGGATCGCGCCTTCATCGCCGACGCATCGGCGATGCATTGCCGATGCATGATGCACCAGCGATGCCTCGTCGACATCGGCGATGTATCGGCGACGTCGACGTGAAGCAAATCGGGTTCCACATCGAGCCGCATCGGCTATGCATCGGCGACGCATCGGCGATGCGGCGCGATCCTCCGACCCCATCCCCATCCACTCCGACCTCATCCAGGAAGCCTAGATTTCTGGCATGCGGGACAAGGACCCCGCGGCGTCCCCAGGGGCAATGGAGCTTCTGAGGGCAGCGGGAGACCGAAAAAAACAGAAAACAGTGGGCCCCTTTTCCCTCATGGCCCAATTGCCTTCATGGCGACACTAGGAACCAGTGCTTCTTTATTGTGCTCTCTCGTGGTGCCCTCGCGGCTGCGGTTTGCTGGGTCTGCGAGGTGGGTCGCGAGCTTTCATCTTTAAACCTAACGCCCCAAACCTGACGGGTGGGGCCAAATTTCGACCCAGGAACCCTACAACCTAGACACATCACCTCCTCTCGACGGCGCGCCGAGGAGGGAAGGGAGCAAGGAGAAGGCCTTCTCAGAAGGCGGCGGGGCTTCTCAGAAGCCCGCCAGCCTTCCGAGGAGCCTTTCGACACTTCAAAGAAGGCTTCGATCTCAGAAGGCAGGAGACCTTTCCAGCATTATGCGAAGGCCCGCCCCCTCACATGCATACATGCATACATGAATACATACCTACCTACCTATCTACACGCATTCGTGCATATATACATACAACCATATATACATACATACATGCATACATACATACATATCTAACTACATATACAAATACATGCATGTACGCATGCATACATAAATGCACGCATACATACATACACACATACGTACGTATACTCATATATGCCTTCATGCACGCACGCCATGTGTATGTACATACACGAATGCATACATACACACATGCATGCATGCATACGTATAGACATGGGTGACTGCATGCATACATGAACATATACTTACATGCAGACATACAAAGAAACATGCCTGCGTTCATACATACATTCAAACATGCAGACGTACACGCATGCACACACATAAATACATGTATGCAGTACGTATAAAGTCACGGTATACAACTAAATGCAAACATGCATACATACGGACATACATACATACATGCATGCATGTATACATGCACGCATACACACATACACACGTTTACACATACACGCCTTCATGCACGCACGCTTGCGTGTATATATATATATACATATATGTATATATTTACATACATATATATATATACATAAATGTGCACGGCTACATACATACACCCATGCATGCATGCATGCAGACATACATACATATTGGGGTGGCTACATGCATACATGCATGTATACTGACATGCGCACATGCAAAGAAACATGCGCGCATAGACATACAGTATGCATACATTTGTCTATAGTCAGTATGTATAAGGTCACGGTGCGCATACACATACAAACATACATGCACATGTACATACGCACATACAAAAACACGAGCGAACAGTCATGCATACATACATGCATACATACCACCGGGCAGACACGACGCCAGACAGACAGACAGACAAGCACACACACACATACATACATACATACGTGCAGGCAGGCAGAGAGAAAATCAGTCGGACATACATACATACATACAAAGAGAGACGATGCAGCAATGGCAGGATCGGAACGACCACCGGCAAAAAGGACACCAGCGCGCTGGATGTCTGGACGCAACACCTAAACAGAGGACATCGGTTGAATTACAAGGCGGGCGGGACGGGACGCTTGACCCGAACGTTGCTGTTCGGTGCCCATCCCCTTCTCTTTTTGCTTATACATTAAAAATGTGGGGAGCATCACTTGCGGTCCCCGACGCCAGACAGGTTCTGCTGGAAAGTATCGGGGCCCGACGAGACAATCCCTCAACAAGTGCTCACGGGATCATTGGGGGCTGAGGTTCTCATTTTATGGAGACGACGCAGCAATGGCGGAATCGGAACGACCACCGGCAAGAAAGACCCCAGCGCGCTGGAGGTCTGGACGCTACCCCGTCTCCAACTTCCCGAATGGTAATCTGGCCGTCAGGCCGTCAACTCCCACGCTTTTCGGGACCTCCTCGATGTTTCCAACTCCTGAACCACCGAATCGACATGCTTGGCCAAAACCGCACACGACTTCTTGGGATAGGCGGCCGCTAGGGCAGCTAGGGCCGCACGTTTGGCAGGGGCCCCAGGGTCGCGACCTTGAAGGATAACATGCGGCGCCCAGTGTGACCACAGATCCCCCCGCGGCCCCCGCACTGGCGCCCCAAGTCATCGATCGCAGCAACCAACCCCCCATAAAGCCACCGTCGTCGCCTTCCTCCACTGGGTACCATAAGAACACTGATGGACACTGTGAATCCGACAGTCATCGGCATTGAGGAGGGGGGTCAGCGGCGGAGCGAGCCAGATGATTGAAGTGCACGGGTTCACCTTCCCACGGGGACGTGGTAGCGTCGGCGCAAGCGAATTATTGCAGTGGTAAATCTCCGGGAAGCGTTAACAATGTCAACCTTTCTCTGGCGTTCGGCAGAGAGGCCCTACAGCCCCGGAGGCTCGGTAGATGTCCGGAGGGTGATGCGAACAGTCCTGGGCCAGGACGTGCAAGGAGTCTTCAGGAACACACCGAATAGAGCATTCGAAGACATCCAGCCGTTGACCACCTGGGGAAAGGAACACCTGAGGTGGTCTTCCATGGCCCAATGGGCCCAGTCCAGAGACAACGCCGCTCCCCCGAGTCTGTGGGCGGCTTGTGACAGCGATCCGCAGCCGTCGAAGAGCTCCAGAAAGCAGCGGTATCCCAGCACGCGCCAGCCTCTGGGTGGCCGCTCGACCTCGACGCCGAAACGGCGGTGGAGGTGTCCGGCGACTTCGACGCCCGAGGCGGTCAGCGCAGCAGGCGATTGGCCCCTCGGGCGGCGCCTCCTGGCAGCGGCATTGGCGCCCCCGCGGCCAGCAGCGCCGACGCGGCGGGCCCCCGCGAGATCTGGCTCCGCGGGCCCAGCTGCCCGCGCGGCAAAGCAGCCTCCAGGTCGTCTGCAACCGACTGTCCGAAGGCTACCACCTCCGGGCACACAAGGTTGAGGATCTCCGGCAGCAAGGCGAGGTCCTCGGAGGCGCCGCTGTGCCGCAGCCAGCAGTAGGGCGGCGCTCTCGAAGCGCGCCTTGAGGCCCGCGCTGGGCCGAGGTCGCACAGGAGTCGTCGGGCGCCGGCGAGCTCTTCAGGGCCGCCAGCGGATTCAGGATCCACGGGTCGAGATCCAGCAACGCCGACTCGTCCCAGACGCCCGTCTCCCCGGGCACAAGCGTGGCAATGTCGCCCAGCAGCAAGCCCCACGCGGCGTAGTCGGCCCCCGCTGTCGGCAGCGGAGGCGCCACGTAGCGGGCTCGCAGCCGGGCGAGCTCGCGAGGGCGCAGGCGGGCGACCGGCGCCAGCAACAGCAGCATCCTCGCGCGCTGGGGGCCCCAGTGGATGAACAGGCCTGCGATGGCCCACGCCACAGCCCGCGGCGTGGGCAGCCGCGTCTGCGCTGGCACCCGCCACAGCCAAGCCCCCGAGCATCGAGTCGCCCGCGGCAGCAGCGCGCGGGTGGCCCGCCCCAGCTCCGGCAACCAATGCCCCAGCGCCGGCAGGGCTTGCGACCCCGCGTCTGGCCCCAGGCCCAGCGGGAACCCGCGACTCATGAAGACGACCAAACCCGCGTCCAGTGACGCGACGTCCGTCGAGGAGAGGCTCTCCTGCTGGCAGAACTCCACGAAGCGCTTCAGCACCCGCGCGTAGAGCCCCTCCGTCGACGGGCGGCGGATCGCCAGCCTCTCCAGCGTGCTCAGGCCGCTCAGGCTGGGCTGCTGGCTCACTGCCTCGAGAGGTGCGCGGCTCCACTCTGCCGCCAGCGCTGGTGGCCCCCGGCGTCGGACAGGCTGCTGTCGCGGGGCGGCCGCGCTGCCCGGCCGCCCGAGCATTCCGAGGCCCGCCAGCAGCAATCCCCGCGGCGTTCTACCCGCGCGGCCCCCGCGGGGAAAGCGGCGCGGAGGGCGGGTGCCCGCCAGAGAACCAGCACAAACGGCAGCGCGAAGGAGCATCGGCGACTTTCCGCTCCGAGGGGAACCACCTGGAGATGAACCTCGTACCCGAACAGAGACTGAGCACAACTTTCGGATAACACGTCCGACATAGAGGGCGTCGGCACCCCCTGGGCCATGGCCAGTGCGAGGGGGAGATGGTCCGCGAAGACGAGGCACCGCGTGCCGAAGTTGCTACAGCTTCGAAACACGTCTCTCACAGCCAATAGCAGCGCGTCGACCCCAGGCAAAATGCGTCGCCCCCCCCCCCCCCCGAACCTGAGCCGCCAAGATAATCGACCAAGGTTCCTCCTCGAAGACCCGCTGGGGAACCTCGTTGAAAGCCCAGGCCCACTGTGAGATGCAACCCGGGTCCGAGAAGGCCGGGAATTCACCGGGGGGCGGCGTGGCCGCGCAGGGCTGACTGCCTAGCTTTCGCGCGACCCTCCACACTGAAGCGCCACTTTTCACAACGACGACCACTTGAACCCACCGTCTCAAGGCCAAACATTCGCGAACAGACTCCACGCCCATACTCGGAAGCACCGGGCGCCAACACCTGCTGACTTCACGGGGCGGACAGATCTGACGCCAAAAGCGGGCTCCCCGAGTGCGCCAGGCCACGCACGTGTCGGCCCGCGCCCAGCCACGTACCGGAAGGCGCACACATCTGAAAAGAGCGCCAGGCATTCCCGCCAGATCAGACCCGCCCGCGCGAGGTGCCCAAGTATTCTCTCCATCAAGTTACCGCTGGCATGTCGTTTGCGGATGACTATGTCCAAAGCCCGCCTGAGACGCCAGATAGCACGACGACGAACCGACAGCCTCCGACAGCTCACAAGCTTCACCCCCAGAAATTCGGCGCCCTGGCAAGCGTCGGTCATCTCGGGGGACCCTGAAGCCCCAGGGCCGATGCACGCTTGGCGATGGCATCCCGGCCCGCCTGGACCTGTGACGCCGAGCGACTGAACGCGGAGAAATTACCAACGTAGCCCGCCACGACGCACGAGTTCGTGCACCCCGCGACCTTGCCGGGCCCCCCGACGAGGACACCGCGGGGCCGAGGGGATCCCGAGACCACCAAGCTGTTCACCAGGACCGTCTGCATCAGGTGCGTAGCCCAGGACCACCCCATAGGGAGAACGGTGACGACAGGCGCGATAGACTCCGAAGCCCCCACGGGACGACCCTCGCAAGACGCGAGCCCAAGATAGCCAGCAGCAGTATCTGGTAGCAGGGAAATACTCGGACAGCCCCTTAGGCAAGCCTACACGGTAGAAGCAACTGTCGATATCGCCCCCGACACGCACATTCCCTCCGGGCCGAGCTCGGCAGGGCTCGACAGAGCTCAGCGCGGCCCCCGACTGCTTAGCAACGAAGAAGATGCCCACCCGGGCGCGAGCCTCGAAGGAGCGCCGAAAAGAGATCATGTTCCTCCGAGCGAGGTGTTTTGAGAAGTCGGCGCGACAGGAGGGCCTGCCCGCCAGCGCCCTGCCAGCGTAGGGGCCGCGCGGGCAGGGTTCAGCAACCAGGGCAGCTGCCTCGCTCGCAGGTCTGAGCAGATTGCCACATGCAGGGCCCAGCCGCTTCCAGCAGGTCCATCGGAGGAGCAGGCATGCCGGCGGCGGGCAGCGTTTCCCTCGGCAGAAGGTCGAGTGCTGGAGGGCCCCGCGCGGCACGGGCCGCGAGCGGTGCGGAGCTCGGCGAGGGCCCCCGCGCAGCCATCCAGGAACTCCACATGGGCGAAAGCGGCGCGCTGCCCAGCGTTGGCTGTCTGCGGGGGCTGCTCCGACTTCGCGAACCCGTAGAATGAGTTCAGCGAGTCAATGCAGCTGTTGGCCCAATCGAGAGTCTTGATGCCCCTCCAGCGCCGCCCGTCAACGGCGCGGCTGCACCCGAGCCCAGAGCCCCCAGCGCCGCGGCGAAGCATCAGCGGCGGCAGCGGGGACAGGTCGCGCTGCCGAGGGTCGAGGACGAGCCCGGCATGATGGGAACGAAGTGCATCGCCAGCAAAAGCAGCACCGGGATGGTGAAGCCCGGGCGGGGGCGGCCCTGTCCACTCCGCCGGCTCCCAGCCTAACCACCATCGCCGCCGCCATCCTTGCCGCCCTTGGCCTTCGACTTAGCCTTGGCAGCAGCCTGAGCGGCGGCGCGTTCTTCTCGTGCCTTCCTCCTCTCCTTCAGGATCGCGCGTTCCTGGGCTAGCTCCTGGCTCACCCAGGCTTGGAGCGCAGGGCAGACGCAACAGTTGCCCCGAGCGAACTCAGTCCCCAGGTACAGGTGCTGGTCCAAGCGGGTCGCGTCGGTGGCCCCCGCTGTCCGCTCGCGGTACCTGACTTCGACGATCTGCAGGCTCCTGCCCAAAAGTTCGAAGCTCGCCATCTCCGTCACGTTCTGTTGGTCGAAGCACACAGCATTCTCGAGGGAGGTGCAAATTCGCAAATGCTCCTCTACACCGCCCTCGTTGGTAAACTTGCCGTCGGTTTTCCACCGATGATGTCGGGCCACAGGGCTTCTGCCGTTGCCATCCAAGGAAGTGGCAGACCCACTTCAGCGCGCGCGGCCCTCTCACGAGCCAATCGGCCCAGGGAGTCTCCGTCAGCAGCGGCAGCGCCTCGGAGAAAGCCCGATGCCTCTCCGCCATGGAATCGACGAGGACCGGATGCACCCTGAGGTCGGTCGACGACAGAGCCGCACCAGCCCCAGATGGCGCCACAGGAGCGGCGGCGAGCGCGGCTGCCGGCGCAGGGCCCGCGGCCACCGCAGAGCACCAGTAGCAGGCACCACAGGCGCCGCTGGCGCGCCGGGGACGGCCCCGATCAGCACGCCACCAGGCCCGGCTCAAGGCGCAATGGCGCCGCCCGCACGCCCCAGCACAGCAGCGAAGGCGGCAAGTCCTTCACCAACGCCAGCGGCAGCCGGCCCAGCGTCCGCCGCGGCTGGCGCGGCGCCAATGGGGGCGGCGGCCGCTGCCACTGGTGGCATGCCAGGCGCGCCCAAGCCTGCCGGCGGGGCCCCCGCTCGGCCAGCCATGTTCGGCGCCAGCGGCAGGCCCGGCGCCACGCCTCCCAGCCTGAGGGCGGCTCGGTTGCGCGCCTGGCCGAGCTCCGCGGCGAGCGGCACGGGAGGGAAGGGGTACAGCCGCGCGGCTGATCCCCCTGCGGCAGCGGGGGCGGCGCCGCCCTGAGCGCTACCAGGCAGGAAGCACCACTCCGCGGCATCCCTGTTAGCTTACAGGTCCTCCTTGTAGCAATCGCCGTATGGAGTGCAGCAGCAGCACACCGCCCCTGCCTGAGCAGGCAGGTACACGCGCAGCCGCCCGTGCCAGAGCGGAGGCCCAGAGACATGGCACCTGACCAAGTAAAAGTCCCCCCTCGGCCAGCCCCGCGCGAGCGAACCAACCTCAGCTGCTCGAGCGCCTCCGCACGCAGGTCCGCTCTGGGCGTTGGCTCGGGCCCCTCCTTCAGCTCCCCGAGAGCAGGCGTGGGGGGCGCCGCGGCGCGAGCCTCGGCCGCCGGCGGCGTGCCACGCCCCAGGCCCCAGCGCCGAGCCGCGGGCAGGTGGGCTAGCACGAAGCCGAGCCCAACGCAGATCGGGATGGCGAGCCAGCCCCCCGAGTAGTTGTGCCCGCAGTGTACCGTCGGGCACGCCAGGCACGTGACAGCGCAGCTGTAATTAGGCCGGGCAATCACAGTAGCACGGAGCACAGCTTTGCCCAGCCGAGCAGCGGACGGCGACGCCTATCCCCACCCCGCGAATGCTTTCGATGAAACCCTCCTCGAGGAGGTCCATGGAAAGGCTAGGGTTCACGCTTGAGCCGAACGTTGCGGTTCGGCATCAATCCCCTTCTCCACTTGCTTATACATTAAAATGTGGGGATGGACGTGTCTGTATACAGACATGTATAGATTCAGCTATGTATGCTGACCCCATGGGGGGCCGCATTGTACCCATATTCACCGCCTGCCGACGTCCAGGAAGATCGATCCCCATAGCAGCAGTTATGTACACAACAATCCTTCCTCGGAGGGCGGCCCCCTCTTGCCGTGCCCGTCTCCTGCGCGCCTGGCAGGCCGCCGCCGCCGCCGCCGGCCTCCTCCGACAGGTTCGCCAGGCTCTCGATGGCGCACACGCCCCGGCCGCCGGGCGCTCCCGGCTCCTGGCTGGGGATGAGGCTTGGAAAGAGACGGGTCTTGCGCGCGAAGACATGCAGTGGGGGCATTGGATAAGAGACCATTGGATAAGGAATCCGGGGACTGGAAGCCAGTGAAATACCGATTGTGGACATCACCACAGCCCTCATCAGACAAGGAATCCTCTAGGGTCTCAACCTCGGGGGCACAGTCCTTGACACACGCGCCCCCCGTAGCGACCTTACGCCACGGCTTACGCGGGCCGACAGCGCGGCACGCTACATTGGAGACGAGGGCGCCTACGCGCGGCCTCACGCGGGGAGCTTGCGAGGCCTGCACGCGCAGTCGGCCGAGTCGCTCCAACTGGACTGTGTCCCGACCAGATCTGACCGATTCCAGAGACCCTGAACCCAAGCATGTTGACCTTTTTGGCGGTGCGCACCGGGAAGTGGGGGGAGGGGGGAAGGCCTCTTAGAAGGCGCCGGCCTCACATCTGCAGATAAGGCTCGCGCCTTTTGAGAAGCAGGGTGCTTTTCAAGAAGCCTTCCCCCTCCCCCATACGGTGGAGGTCTTAGACAAGGATATCTACGTCCGATAAGGAACCCAGGGGCTCGCGACCGATGGGCGGCCAAGCGTGGGCCACCCACCTCGCCTTGAAACAAGAAGGAATGCGCCAGGGTCTGGGCCCCAGGAAGACGTTCCTTCTCCGATGCCGCCGCCGTGCCTCCTTCTGCGGATGGCCGATGAACCCACGCATGCTGACCTTTGCTTCCGCACGCCTTCCGCCGACCTTCCGCCGGCGGGCCCGCCCCCCCGCCCGCAGGCTGCCGCAGACCATCCGCCGGGGCCATCCGCCAGGCGCCCGCCGAAGGCGAGGTGCGCAGAAGGCGAGGGCCCCGTTGGAGCGCAGCGGCTCGCACCGTCAGCCTGCCCTCCGCCGACCTGCCAGCAGACCCGCCTCTGCGCCGTGCAGCGCATCGCGCAACCCTTAGCATGAGGTCGGGCATGCCCTCCCACAGGCGGATTTGGGAGGAAAATCTTTTTGTTTTTACGAAAAAACAAAAAATCAAGCATGGTCAACAATGGTAGAACAAGTCGTGCCTAGACTATGTTTAGACTATGTTTGAGCATTGCCCCTGTAGTGGGACAGGCCCGACTTAACATTAGGAGCGCAGAATAGGGAACAAATGGCCTTCTCTTGCCACAAGGAGCCTGGGCCACGAAGGGGCTCAAGGACCCGCATCCAGGGAACGGCCCGACGAGCGGCTCCTGAGCCCCAGGTGGCCCTTGCTTCAGCGTCTCGTCCGTATAGCACGCCGAAGCGGCGCATCTAAACAAACGTATCGAAGATACGCCGTCCCCTGACACCCGCCGATGGGTTTCTGTTCAATTTCGCGGCCCCAGAGGTCCCGACCCTTTCCGGGGGGAGCTTTTTCGACCCGGATGAATTTCACCCCGGGGCCTGATAACCGGCCTCCGAGGGCTTCGACCCGGATGAATTTCACCCCGGGGCCTGATAACCGGCCTCCGAGGGCCGAAATCGATGAAAACACACTGAACCTGGACATCCGCTGACTTGTTTTTTTGAATACGGGAGAGCCGCCAGAATATGACCATGTCCACTGCTGCTGGGTCGTGTTCCGACGACTCGGGTAGCGGAGGACACGGATATCTGCCCGCCAACGCGGGCTGGCAGATATCCATATCCACCGCTCCTCGGAATCACAGGGCACGAGTCCGAAGCGGTGGATGTGGACATATTCTGGCGGTGGAACGAGGTCCTCGAAGTCCCGACCCGTTCCACAGGGCCCGTGTTTCATCGGGGGTCGTTTCTTGACGGTCGCAGGGCCCCGGCAAAAGCCCCCAGAGGCCGAAAAATACAGCAATAATAATAATACGAATGAATAATACGAATGATAATGAGAATAGTAAGAAGAAAAATAACAACAACAATCGCGAACTCTCAGCCCTCAGAGGCCCCCAGGAAGCCCCCAAGAGGCCCCCAAGACGCCCCCCAAGATCGCCCCGAGAGTACCCAAGAGGCCCCCAAGAGGGCCCCAAGACGGACAAAGACGGCCCAAGACGGCTCCAAGACGGCCCAAGAAGCCCCCAAGTCGGCCCAAGAGGGCCCCAAGAATGCCTCAAGAGGGGACCCAGAAAGGGAACACGAGACAACATCTCGAACTTTCGGCCCTCAGAGGCCCCCAGGAAGCCCAAGAGGCCCCCAAGAGGCCCCAAGAGGCCCCCAAGACGCCCCTAAGACGCCCTCAGGAAGAGCCCAAGAGGCCCCCTAGAGGCCCCCAATCCTCCTCCTCCTCCTCCTTCTCCTCCCGCCCCCTCACTCCTCCTCCTCCTCCTCCTCCTCCTCCTCCTCCGCATCCCCTCCGATTTCTCTTCGGCACAATACACACTCCACGTTTGAAAGGATGCAGGGGTCCCAGAGAGGGAACAAAACAGCCCCCAAGAGACCTCAAGAAGCTTCAACACTGTCTCCACAGACTCCCGAAACGCCTGCCAAGAAAACCCCACAAACCCCGCATTGACAACGATCCCTCGGGCAAACAGCAGAGATGAGGCTACATGGGCCGGCGGAATGAGCGAAGTGATTCAATAATACTAATAATAATACTACTACTACTAATAATAATAATAATAATAACAACAACAACCGCCATGTTAAGACTGTTCGCTCTTATCGGATCGAGTGTCCGTTAACGCGTATTTCACAAACCCTCGGTACCCGCCCTCTTCGTCTTCGCTCGTACCCCTTTTTGGGGGTATACCTTTCTTCCCTGCAGGCCAGGCCCCGGCAAGCGGCGGGGCGCCAGTAAGCGGCGGCCTGCGGCAGCGCTGATCAGCGGCAACCCGACCCCAAGAGGTAGGGACAGGGGACCGACCACGACGACGACGACGACGACGGCGGCGGCGACGACGACGACGACGACGAGCGAAAGCGAGAGCGAGAGAGACAACGACAGCAGGGCCACGAAGGCCACGAAGTAGGCCACGAAGGGCAACAGCGGGGACACGAAGGGAACGCGTGTGGGGCCACGAAGAGCGCGAACGAGCGGGGGTCACGAAGGGCAGATAATGCGAAGCCGCAGAAGGCAACGACGGGGCCACTGAGGGTAGCAACTGGGCCACGTAGGACAGCGAGGGGGCCACGAAGGGCGACACTGGGGCCACGAAGGGCATGCACATGGGGCCACGAAGGGCTGCAACGGGGCCACGAAGGGCATACGTATATTGGGCCGCGGAGGGCAACGAGGGAAACAGTGAGGGCTGCAACGGGGTCACGAAGGGCAGCGAGGGGGCCACGAAGGGCGACAACGGGGCCACCCAGGGCAGCGAGGGGGCCACGACGGGCGCGAACGATCGGGGGCCACGAAGTGCATACATATATGGGACCACGAAGGAAAGCGAGGGGGCCACGAAGGGCGACACTGGGGCCACGAAGGGCATGCACATGGGGCCACGAAGGGCTGCAACGGGGCCACGAAGGGCAGCGAGGGGGCCACGAAGGGCTGCAACGGGGCCACGAAGGGAAGCGATAGGGCCACAAGGGCTGCAACGGGGCCACGAAGGGCAGCGAGGAGGCCACGAAAGGCTGCGACGGGGCAACGAAGGGCAGCGAGGGGGCCACGAAGGGATGCAACGGGGTCACGAGGGGCAGCGAGGGGGCCACGAAGGGCAGCAACGGTTCCACGAAGGGCAGCGAAGGGGCCACGAAGGGCTGCAACGGGGCCACGAAGGGCAGCGAGATCCCGATTCCTTAGTAATCTGTGAGGGAGTCCTAAGCGTGAGCGCGACTCCTGGGTGCCTGAGTGTCGAGAGCGCGACGCTTGAGTAAATTACTGGAAATTCCAACACAACGGCGCTATTCTTCAGCAATTGCAAGCAAGTCTCCAGCGAGAGCGTGATTCCAAAGTGCCGAGAGAACGATCCCTGAAAAATGCGTGAAGAAATCCCAAACAAAAGCGCAATCCCTTCATAAAATGCGAAAAAGTCTTGAGGCGGAAGCGGGGATCCTGGCTAAAGCATGAGGAAGTCTCAGGCGGGAGCCAACAACACAGTTTGAGGAGGAAGACTTTCCCTGATAAAAAAAGGGTCCGAGCGCCGGGAGGGGCACTTCAATTGAAAAAACAATGTGCACTGGAGGAGGGGATCAACAATGATTGTTTTCAAAAGTGAAAACACGACAACAACACCACCACCAACAACAACAGCCACAACCACAACAACAACAAAACTCTGCCCTGAGTCGGGAGAAGTCGCATCGGAGGAAACTGGCAGGCTAACAAGTCCTCCATATTGAGAAACCGAAGCCCAAGCTGGAGTCCCAAATCCAATCTAATTCGAATCGGAACGGGCGGGCCCGGTCACAGCGCGCCAGCCACTGCTGAGGGGACCCGTGTGGGCCTGCACCAAGGGTCGCTCCGGCAAAGGGTCACCCTGACGAGTAGCCGATGAGCTGACCTCCATATCGAGAAGCTGAAACCAGGACCAGAATCCGACGTCGGATCGGTTCGGAATCGGCACAGACCGCAATCGAACCGAATCGAACCCGAGGACTCGACAAAATAAGCCCTGGCAAGGCGGCGCAGCTCCCGGAACAGCGCCTCGCAGCGCCAGCCCGCCGCCTCCCCCCGCGCGAGGTAGCCCTCGCTGACGAGGCGCACGCCCGAAGTGCACGCGGGCAGCGCCCGGGCGCTGGGCGCCGTCATGGCCTGCACCCACTCGCGCTTCCCCTGGCTGGCGGCGCACGGGCGGACGACGACGTCGAGTGATGGTCTTGTCCCACAAGCGTGAATTCGCAGATTCGAATGCGGTGTGTTGGCAGAAGGTCGTTTCCCCAAATATGCGTCAGCAGTGTTAACTAGTTTAACTAGCAGAAGGGGTTCTTACCCAAGAGGCCCCCAAGACGGCCCCAGCGAGGGCCCCAAAACAGCGGCCCCCAAGAGGGCCCCGAGAAACCGAGAGGGAGAACTCGAGCTTCAATTTCGCGCTCCCTGCCCCAAGATGACCTCCGAGGGGCCTCCCAGAAGCCTCAGGAGGCCCCCAAGAGGACCAAGTCAGGCCGCTGGAGGCCCCCAAACTGAGAGGCGCGCTGGCGACGACGGTCCATGAGATCCGGGCGTTGAGTGTGTTTCGCAACGGGCGGGTTTGCCTTGTATCGGGCCACGGGACCAGCACAGATCGATCCAGCTCAGAAACTGCAGCAGAAAGATACGGTAGGGTCCAGGGCTCCAGACATGATGCTTCGGAGTGATGGCTTTCCCCAAATATGTTTTCGCATAAATTTGTGATCCGGGAACCCTGCCGGCCTTGCTGAAATGGTCCCTGCAGAATTGTTTTGTTGCGCTTCATGTGAATGCCACACAATTAAGCTTTGCAGGGTCGACGCTTGGGTAATGAAGCTTCCGTGGGGGGTCGTGTCGCTGCAGCTGGGCGAAGCTCAAAAGAGCGACCCACCCTGGCCCCAGGGAGGGAGGGTCTGGAGAGAAAGAGGGCAAGGCAGAGAAGAGAGACGCGGGCGCGAAGACGACGAGACCACGGCAACCCGAGCCCTCACTAGATGCTGGCGGTGAATAATGGACTTTACTGAATTACCGCCAGAAGCTCTCTGAGCTTCCTGTTTTGTATTTCGGCGTGCAGGAGCCCAGGGGCGGATTCTGGGCGGAATGGAAAATTCAGAAAATCCACCCTCACGAGAAGCACCCCACCACGCGAAGCCGTTTAGTAAACGCACCCAAGGAGGGAATCGAACAGGGCAGGGCCGTTTAGTAAACGCCCAGGCCGCTTAGCAAGCGCAAATTATCGGGATCGGGGCGGTGCTCGCTCCCGTGAGAATGGGGCCCAGGGGCCAGAGCGCCGTGGGCGGCCTCCTCGAGAGAGAGCAGCAAGAGCCACCCACGCAAGGGTTCGGAGGCTCCTGCGGAAGCCCTCGAGAGGGGGGCAGGAAGGCGCCTGAGCACGCGTTTCCGCTTTGACGAAATCGAGACGGAAGTTGCTGTAGTTTTCGGCACATGGAGACCCTCGCCTGGGCCCGGGACTGTCAAAAAACGACTCGCGCCAAAAAATCCGCCCAGGACGTCCAAGGACCCCGCATTGGAAACAACAGGGCGTGAGATGACCTGGCCCTGCCGCTTCTTACGACGGTCGCCCCCCTCCGCCCCTGCCCCCGCGGAACGCCACCGACCTGTGGCGGAGACGCTGCACGCTGCGCGGCGACCTGGTTGGGCCCGCATCCCGGCAGCCCTCTGGCGCCCCCGCTGTCGAAGCCGTCGCCGCAGCCGTCCCTGCAGGCCGGAAAGGCACCCCGCAAGTCCTCCAGCGAGTACGGGAACGGCGCCCAGCAACCGAAGAGGGGCCCCCAGAGGCGCTCCATCGCCTCCGCCAGCCTCCCGCCATCGTTGGACAGGAGCTCCAGGAGGTAGTCGTAGAGCCAGGCAGGCACCCCGCTTGCCCTGCGGAAGGAGACGAAGAACTGGTTCTCGAACCCAGCCACCCAGTTGACGGCGCCCTTGCTGCCAGTCAGGAAGCCGAACAGCTTGTGTGCCAGGTCCCTGCGCTGCTCGCTGTACCTCCCGTCAAGGCCGAGGGCCTCGCAAGAGGCGAAGCTCAGCGGCGCGAAACCCACCCCAGCCGCAGCCCATCGCCGCGCGTACTCCACCGCGTCCAGCGGACCGTCGGCCCACGTCGGCATCCCCGGCAGGAAGACCAGGGCCCCTGGCGGGGCCTCCGTCTTGGCGAGCCCAAACGCGGCCTTCAGATGCCAGAGGTACGTCACGCCAGCCTGCGCCGTCGCCTGGAGCTGCGGCGAGGCCATGGCCTGAACCACTTCGAGCTGCAGGAACTCCAGGTGCACGCAAGGGGGCAGCTCGGACAGCCAGCTGCCGTTGAGGCCCGCGGTCTGCCGCTCGAAATGGTGCGGGGTGCACCCCGCATAAAGGTAGACGGCCGTATTCGCGCAGTCCACCTGCTAGCGGGCGAAGAAGGGATGTTTCCGTCACCAGGGGCGCCTTTTCCAAGGGGACTGGACAGTCTATACCCTGACGTGCCACCGTGGGCGTATAAACTGTCCAGCCGCCCTGGGACAGGCGCCCCCGACGGCGAAACAATGTATCTTATACCATTATTCGCCCGTTGAACCTGGCCCCAATTGACCTCCGCCCAGGCCTCGGCGCGCGCGCAGAACACGGACGCGACAAGCTCCACGTACACGGCCGAGGCGTTCGGGCCCTCCGCCACCGCCGACACGCGGTCCAGCACGGCCCCCCGAACCGCCGCGCGGTGAGCGCCCGCGCGGGCCCAGGACGCCGAGGCCCCGACCGCCGCCAGCGCGGCGCACGACACCAGGAGCCCCGCGCCCCCGCGGCAGCCGACCCGGGGCTCCTCGCGGGCGGGGCCTGCCAGAGGCGCCCCCCGCCCGGCCGCGGGCGACCCCCCGTGCCCCTCCCCCCCCTCGCAGAGGCCCCAAAAAGATGGAGCTCAAAAACCGTGTGGTGCCAGACCGCGTGGTGACCTCGGCTAACCCCAATGACCTCACCGCGCGTTCCGTCACTGCACGCATTTGGGGACCCTGGCGGCCCTGGTCGGCCGAGACACCTGCGGGAACGACCCGAATCCCAAAACCGCGAGGAGACCCCGAATCCCATGCGGCGTGGTCACTATGCCGTTCGGCACCGCCGACGAAGGGTGGTCCCCGAGGTGCCGCGAGCAGCCGGCGCGAGACCCAAACCCCGGGGCCCGACGTGATGAGGTCTCGACCCATTCCGTGGGACCGGTTTTTCGCCCCGTGAAGTTTCTTCGCGGCCCCGACCCGGCACGAGCCCCCCTGGGCCGAAAACAGCGGAAAACTCTCCGCCGTTATTGCTTCATGACTCGAACGGCCGCTGGCCGCGCTCCTCGCGGGCGACCCGCTCACCCTCGCTGGGGCCGCGCTCGCGGCAACCCCCGCGCTGCTCGCGGCGGCCCGCGCGGCTGGCCGCGCCCTGCGCCAGGCTGCCGCGGGCAAGGCCGGACTCCGCGGGGGCCAGGAGCGCCTGCTGGCTCGCCGCGCCCAGGGAGGCCGCCTGGGCGCCGCTTGCGCGGGGCCTGCGCGGCGCGGGCGGCGGCGCCGCGGCGCGGGGCGGCGTTCGCCCTCGGGCCGACATGGCTGTGGGGCCCCCTGGCCTCCGCCAGGGCTGTGGGGCGGCGCAGGAGTAGGGGCGGAGGGGGGGGGAGTTTCCTCTATAGCAGAGGTCCTGCCGCCACCTCATCCTCCTCCTCCTCCTCCTCCTCCTCCTCCTCCTCCTCCTCCTCCTCCTCCTCCTCCCCCGGTCTCCTCCTCGTCCTCCAGTCTCCTCCTCTCCTCTTCCTGCGCCTCATTTCTCCTGTGCCTGTCCGACTGGCGATGCCCTCGAGACGGCAGAGGCGCCCGCGGCGCGTCCCAAGCCTAACAGCGGCCGCGGAACGCTCGCGGCGGGGCAGCGCCCGGCAGCTCCGTGGGCCAGCGGCCTCCGACGACCTGCTCTTGAGTTCTGCCTTGACCTCGGCCTTTCTTGGGGGGGGGGGGGCGCTCTCCCAGAGCCCCGGGAAGACAGGGGTCCTACGCGAGATGAGATGGCATGGCGACCTTACGTCGCGGCTTGCGCGGGCCGCCAGCGCGGCACGCTGCAGTGGAGAGGAGGGCGCTTGCGCGGGACCTTACGCGGGCATCTGACGCGCCAATGTCGGTGCAGAGGACCCCGTGTGTTTCCGAAGCTCACGTGCGCGCCCAGCTCCCCGCGAGGCCGTCCTCGTGTTACAAACGCTCGCGCAATGCGGACCATAAAGACACCATGCCATGTCAAGTCGTGTGCGTGTGCGCCTGTGTGTTTTGCTCCTGGGCGGAAAGGCTCGGGGCTTCCTGGGGGAGCACCAGCTAAATGATAATAATAACGTAGCACCCCGCAATTGCGGATAAGAGTGAGGGGGCGGGCGCGGGCGACGCGGGCGTCGTCGAGCCGGCGGACCTCGTGGCCCCCACCTTCCCTGTCGATGGCGCTCTCCTCCTCCTCCTCCTCCTCCTCCTCCTCCTCCTCCTCCTCCTCTTCCTCGTCCTCGTCCTCATCGTCATCGTCATCCTCCTCCACCTCGCCCTCCTCCTCCTCTTCTTCCTCGTCCTCCCTCTCCCCCCCTCGTCCTTTCATCATCGTCCTCCCATTGTCGTCCTCCCCCTCATCGGCCTCCATCATCGTCCTCCCATTGTCGTCCATCATCATCATCCTCCCCCTCCTCCCCCTCCTCGTCCTCCTCCTCCCCCTCCTCCCCCTCCTCGTCCTCCTGCTCCTCCTCCTTTAGCTTTCTCCACATTATCCTTACATCCTCTCTTCGTCCGCGTCCTCCTCGTCCCCCGTTTACTCCTCCTGCCTCCCCCTCCTTTCCCAAGATAACTGCAACGCAATCCTTTTTTCCACTTTATGCTCCCCGACTTCTCTGATCAAGGCAACTCGCCAGGGCAAAGTTGCTGGACGGGCTGGTGTGGATGCGCGGGGCTTGAAGAGGTCCATTGCGGGCTCAGACGGCATGCAAAAACCTGATCGGACAAGAACGGGAAGGCGTATGAGGCGAAGCAGAAAAGGAAGGCGAGGACAACGAGGAGTCGATGACGAGAACGACGTGGCGAACGTGAGGATAGCGCGGAGGAGCATGAGGACAACGAGGAGGAAGAGAAGCACAAGGACGATGACGAAGAGAACGAGGGCGAGTACGAGGACGAATGCGGAGGGCGACGACGACGACGACGACGACGACGACGACGACGACAGAGGACAGTACGAGGCAATTGGAGAAAGACGTTGCTCCTGGCGCCGCGCGGGGTTCTCTTGGGGCCTGTTGGGGGCTTCTTGGGGGCCCCTTGGGTCCTCTTATGGGCTTCTGGGGTCTTCTTGGGCTGTCTGGGCGCGTCGTGGGGTTCTGTGGGAGCTTTCTTAGGCCGTCTCGGCGCTGGGGGCCTCCTGGGGCGCTCCCGGGAGTCTCTTGGGGCCTTCTTGGCCCTTCTTGGGCCGTCTTGGGGTTCGTGTGAGCTGTGTGGGTGGCTCCTAGAGCGCTCTTGGGGGTCTCTGGGGGTCTTCTTGGGGCGCTCTTGGGCGCTCCTGGGGCTCTCCGGTGCGTCTTTTGGGCCTCCCTTGGGCCGTTCGAAAACACTCCAAGAGCGATTCGAACACGACGTCGACGTCTTGGCGTTATCTTGGACTGTCTTGGCGTTATCTTGGACTGTCGTGGGGCTCTGGGGGCCTGATTGGGGCCCGTGGGGAGCATTTTGGGAGCCTCTTGGAGGCTTCTGTGACCCTCTTGGACTCAGGCGTCTCTCGAGGGTCTGTGGGGGCTCTCTTGGGCTGTCTTGGCGTTCTCTTGGACCGTCTTGGGGCTCTCTTGGCCAGTCCTGGGGCCTCTTCGCGCGCTCGGGGGGGCCTCTGGGCGCCTCTTGAGGGCCTCTTGGGGGTCTCTTGGGCAGTTTTGGGGGTCCCCTGGGGGGCCTTTGGGGGCTCTCTTGGGCAGTTTTGAAGCCCTCCGGGAGCGACTCCAAGATAATGCCGGTTCGGAGGCCCCTCCGGAGCAGATTTTTCGAGGATGTCTCGAGCGAAACGGTCATTTTTCCAGAATTCTGGGGGACTTCTGGCCGCCTCTTTGGAGCCCCTGGGGGGCTTCTTGGGGGTCTCTTGGGGCGTTTTGGGCGCTCTGGCGGGCCTCTGGCCGCCCCTTGGGGGCCTCTTGGGGGTCTCTTGGGGCGCTCTGGGGGTCCTCTGGGGGGCCTTCGGGGGCTTTCTTGGGCCGTTTGGAGGCCCTCCGGGAGCGATTCCAAGATAATGCTGCTTCGGAGTCCCCTCCGGAGCCGATTTTTTGAGGACGTCCCGAGCGAAACGGCCAATTTTCCGGAACCTGACCGGACAAGAACGGGAAGCGCAGTTTTTTATCCACCACGTGCGTCAGAGACCGTATTGGCGAGAACGTCAGAGAACATCCCTGTTGCGTTTCCTGGCTTCGGCGCCGTCTTGGAGGTATCTTGGACGCTCTTGGGGCTGTCGTAGCCTCTGGCCTCTCGGGGGCCTCTTGGGGGAGTCCCGGGGGGGGCCTTCGGGGGCTCTATGGGGCGATATGAAGCTCTCAGGGAACTCCTGGAGCCTTTTCGCGCGTTCTGGGGGACTTCTGGCCGCCTCTTTGGAGCCCCTGGGGGGCTTCTTGGGGGTCTCTTGGGGCGTTTTGGGCGCTCTGGCGGGCCTCTGGCCGCCCCTTGGGGGCCTCTTGGGGGTCTCTTGGGGCGCTCTGGGGGTCCTCTGGGGGGCCTTCGGGGGCTTTCTTGGGCCGTTTGGAGGCCCTCCGGGAGCGATTCCAAGATAATGCTGCTTCGGAGTCCCCTCCGGAGCCGATTTTTTGAGGACGTCCCGAGCGAAACGGCCAATTTTCCGGAACACGGCAGACCACACAGGAGCACGGCAGACCACACAGGACACGGCAGACCCCACGGGAGCACGGCAGACCACACAGGAGCACGGCAAACCACACAAGAGCACGGCAGACCATACAGGAGCACGCCAGACCATTTTGGGGAATCCGTTAACGAAAAATCCCGTGCAGCGCGGCAACCCATATAGTTAAAGAAAAGATATATTTACTCAAGGATTCAGCCAGAACGTCCCGCTTGCTTGTCGTACCTCGAAGACGCTTCCCGTCATCCGCCAACGAGTTTCGGGATGGAGCCCGTACCCCTTAGTTAGAGAACCGCCAACGAGTTTCGGGATGGAGCCCGTACCCCTTAGTTAGAGAATCTCTCTCCCTCTCTATCTCTCTATGTCTCTCTCTTTCTCTGGCTTTAAGCCCCCAAAGCTTCAGCTTCAGCACGGCAGACCAGAACAGCAGACCCGCACGGCAGACCAGCACAACACACCGACACGGCAGACGAGCACGGCAGTCCGGCACGGCAGACCAGCACGGCAGACCAGCACGGCAGCCCATAGGAACATAGCAGACCAGATCATGTCATTGACGCTGCTGTTGTTGGTGATGATCATGTTGCTGCTGATGGTGATGGTGATGCGTACGATGATGATAATGATGATGATGAGGAGGAGGAGGATGATGATGATGAGTATGAGTATGAGTATGGTGATGATGATGGTGATGATGATGATGATGATGATGATGATGATGATGATGATGATGATGACTTCTCGGGGTGTGCTTGGGAGATGTTGGGGTCCTCTGGAGAGCCTTTGGACTAGCAGTTTAAATCTGCGTAGCCGTTGTAACCCGACTCTCGTTTTCTTCATCGGTCTGACCGGTTTATCAGCTTACACGGCACAGCGCAGCAACACGACAGACGGCAGCAGCACGGCAGACCAGGAAGGCAGACCACAGGAGCACGGCAGACCAGAACGGCAGACCAGAACGGCAGACCGCAGGAGCACGGCAGAGCAGCACAGCTGACCACAGGAGAACGGCAGACCAGCACAGCGTTGTTGCAGCAGACGGTGCTGATACACTCTTAATTTATTGAACACGTCCCCAGCGAAATCGTCATGGTCGGCCGTATTGAGGGCACTCTGCGGGTCATCTTTGGGCCGATTTTGTTTTTGGGGGGCCGTACTGATGCCCTCAAAAACGATTCCAAGACGACGTTAGACTCATTGTTTGTTTGATGATTGTTCGGCCGTCTTGAGGGCACTCTTAGGGCATAGTCTGCCGTGCTCCTCGTCTTGGTCTGCCGTGCTCCTCGTCTTGGTCATCCTTTCCGTCGTCTTGAGGGCGCTCTTGGTGCCTGGTCTGCCGTGCTCCTCGTCTTGGTCTGCCGTGCTCCTCTCGGTTTCAGTGCCTGGTCTGCCGTGCTCCTCGTCTTGGTCTGCCGTGCTCCTCTCGGTTCCTGCGCGCGGTCTGCCGTGCTCCTGTGGGGAGCACGGCAGACCACAGGAGCACGGCAGACCACACAGGAGCACGGGTCCGTAGCCATTTTGGCTCAAGGCCATGGCGCACCCGACGACCGCGAGTCCGTCGGGCGTTCTTGAGCGCGAGGGGCGCCCCGCCGCGAGCCAGAAGCTTCGCCTGGTTTGTTCTCCTTCGTGCCTGCAGGGCCGAGTGTATCGGCCGAGCAGCTGTCAGTCTTCCCTCGGTGAGCCGCCATGTCGGAGGTTGCCTCGGGGCTGGCTAGGCGGGCGTACTGGTTGTGTGCTAAGCGTGGCTGCAACGCTTGGAACTGGTGTGACAAGCGGTGGACGTGCAAGGCGTGCGGCACCAGTGCTCCCCCATGGACGAAGGAGTACCGCTCTGACAAGCCCCCCCCGCGGGTGGACGCAGACGGGTTCGTGCAGCAGCCCAGGGGAAGGGCTGAGCAGCGCGCGGCGAGGCGCTCGGCCTCCCAGCGGGCCCTCTCGGGGAGCACCGCGCCCAGCAGCGCCCCCAACAGCAGGGCACGGCGAGCGCGGCCCTGGGGAGAGGCCAAGACCCAGATCGAGGAGCTGCAGGCGCAGCTCGTGGCGGCCAGGGAGCGCGTCGTCACGCTCCAGGGGGCCTCGGCGCTCGGGCTCTCAGTGGACTTCCAGCGTGAGGCGGAGAACGCCCTCCAGCAGGGCAAGGACCAGGTTGCCGCCCTGGAGCGGTCCGTCCAGGAGGCCCAGCGGACCGAGCGCCCGCCTCACTCGGTGCTCCACATTGAGGCCAACGCCATCCAGAAGGTCGAGCGCCAGCTGGCCACGGCACGTACCAAGAAGGAGAAGCTCCAGCTGCAGGCGTCCGAGCTGCGCGAGCTCATCGCGGAGAAGCAGGAGCAGCTATCGGCAGCCGAGTTGGGGGGTCGATGAAGTCACCGGGCAGATTGCAGAGCTGGAAGAGACCAGGGCCAAGGTCACTCAGCAGGCGATCCAGCGGGCCAACGCAGCTGTCGGAGGCGTGCCGAGCCCGCTTGGGGACGCCGTCCAGGGGTTGCTCACTCAGGTTGGCGCCCTTTCGGATCTCCTCAAGCAGCACGGAGCCGATCTGCCACCCAGGTTTTCGGAGATCGTCGAGATTCTCAACACGCAGAAGGAGGCGGTCGCTGACGTGCTCAGGCCCCGAAGCAGCTCGGCCAGGAAGCGTTGGGGCGACAGCGTCGGTGACGACGGCCTCGCGACTGAGGATGACGACATGCCGCTCGACACCGTGGCCTCAGGTGGGCCTGCGGCCGCCCCTCCCGCTGCCGCCCCGCTGGCAGGGCAGACCGCGGCTGGGCCGCCAGCCACGCGGGCCAGGCCAGCGGACGGACCCTACGGCCCTGCAGCGGCCCGCGGCCAACACGGGGCGACCCTGGGCGCGTGGCCTCAGGCGGAGCCCTGCCTCGCAAAGGCCCTCGCCGAGCAAGGGGCGGCCCTCTCGGACGGCGACCCCTTGGTGGCTGCGGCTGCTGTTGTTGCTCCTGCTGCTGGGTACGGGCCGCGCCGTGGGTGATGCGGGAGCGTGGGAGTGGTCAGCTTCCACAGTCGGCCTCGATGTCGGGGACAGCGGGACGCCTTCCCCTCGGGATGTGCGCGGGCCCAGCTGCTGGGACAGGTGGAGGAGGCGCTGTGACGGCCGCTGGCGCGTCCGCGCCCCTCGCAGGCGGCGGGCGGCGCCGAGCACCCTCGCCCGAGGTAGCCAGCTGGCGCGGTCGGGATCACCGAGGTGGCCCCCCGACGGCCAGTCAGGGGCCGAGAGCGGTGGGATTCAGCCCCACGTCGTCGCAGCTCTCGGCCCCGTTGGTGATGGGCAGGCGCACCCCCCGCTGGCAACCGGAGGGGCGGAGGGACGGCCACCTCCTCAGCCCTCCGATGGCGCGCTGCGGAGGGAGCGACGGCCACCTCCCGTTCTGGCGAGCGGCCCGCCGACGCCGATGAGGAGCGCTGGAGCGAGGGGCCAGGGCCCCCCTCCAGTCCTGGTGGGGGCGGAGGGTCCCGCGACCAGGGGCACAGCGGGCCCCGTGTCTGACGCTGGTGGGCGGGCCGCTCGCGAGGCAGCCGTCATCGGCAAGGCGCCGCTGGTCGGCAGGGCAGGAGGCCAGCTGCTTCGAGCTGGCCTAGTCATGTTCGGCTGCAATGGCAACGCTTGGAGCAGGAGCATGGAAGCCCTCGAGGCCTTCTTCAAGGCGTACGGCTACTGGCCCGACGTAGTGGCGCTGCAGGAGACGAGGCTCCCGCATGAGCGCCTGCCCAGTGCTGCGGCTCAGGCCCGCGGCCTGGGCTACGCGGCCTTCCTCCACGAGGCGGCGCCGACGGAGAAGCAAGGGCCCCAGGCGACCTCAGGCGGCGTGGCGATTCTGGTGCGAGACGGCTTGCAGGCCGACGAGTCTGCGTACCCTTTGCCCTCGGCCTTGCGACACCGCCTCATCGGGGTGGAGGTCGCCGCCGCCTCGGGCCTTCGGGTCCTGGTGCTTGCTGGGTACTTTCAGCACTCTGTGGGCCCTCGAGGCACCAACCTGGACTTGTTTTCGGCCATCTCGGAGGTGACGGGCTCTTCTGCCGACATCCCGTGGGTCCTCCAAGCCGACTTCAACATGGAGCCCGAGCCGCTGGAGGAGTTGGGGTGGCCTGCTGCGGTGCGGGGGCATGTCCTGGGGCCCTCGGAGGCGACGTGCCATGCCGAGGGATGTGACCACCTCTACGACTGGTTCGTGGCTTCCGCGGCGTTGGCAGCCTGCACGGCCTCCTGCGCCACCACGCTCGAGGGCTTCGGTCTGCACCCTCATCGCCCCGTCCTGCTTCGTCTCCAGGACGTTCGGGCAGATGCGTTGGTGGAGGTTCCGTCCAGGCCCGCACGCTTCCCCGAAGTTGCTCCTGAGCTCCTTCGGGCGCACGAGGACGCGGAGATTGTGTGCTACTCGGTTGGCAAGAAAGGACAGGTCACGCCTAGGAGCGTCGCGTGGTCCTGGGACACAGGCACTTCACCGACCAACCTCTCCGTCGCCTTCAGCGAGTGGGCGGCGGCTGCAGAAGGCACCCTGGTCGGCATCCACGGCATCGTCCAGGCAGACTTGGCCCGTCATCTTGGCAGAGGAGAGGGGCCGCGGCTGACCCTCAAGCCCCTCAGTGCCTTGGTCAGGCGAGATGCCAGGTTCAGGTTCAGCCTCCTCACGCACCGCTTGAGGAGCTGCCTGGACGTGGCCCTCCAGCGGCTGCGAGCGGAGAGGACTGGCCGCTGGCACCCTCGGCATGCAGACTGGTACGGGCACCAGGCCGGGCTCAGGGCGCAGCTCTTGCTAGAGGCGGTGCAGGGTGCAGGAGGCTGCCGACTCGGTCGGTGGGGCTCTTCCTGGCGCAGCTCCTGATCGACTAGGCGACCTGGTGTTTCAGGCGGGCGTCCACGGCAGCCCTGACGCCGTTCGGGACCTCCAAGGGCTGCTCGGTGCATCGCAGCGCCGCGACGCGGCTCAGAGCGCCCAGGCCTGGCGCAACTGGGCACAGACAGCGGTCGAGAAGGGCGGTCGTCTGGCCCACCGCTTCTCGAAGGCGACGCCCCCGCCGACGGTCAGGGACGCTGACTCTGGCAGGAGGCTCGTTGGGATGGCAGCGATCGGCGAGCTCACGAGTGTCTGGCAGAAGCTGTGGCTCCAGGACGGGTTTGCCCTGGGCGCTGGGGCCAGCAGCTGGGACGTTGGCGAGTGGCGGCTGCCACCCATCTCGCTGGAGCAGCTCCAGGCGGCCTGCAAGCGCTACAGCCCCTCGGTGGGGCTCGGGTGCGACTCTCTGCGCCCTCGGCAGATCCTCCTGCTGCCCGTGGCGCTGCAGCAGCGCATCCTGGACATCCTGGCGGCCTACGACGACGCCCCTGCATCGATCAGCGGGCAGGTCTCCCTGATGGTGTTCATCCCGAAGGCAGATGGAGGGGTAAGGCCCATTGCGCTGCTGCCGCTGGTCCTGCGGCTGTGGTCGCGCCTCCGCCAGCCTTGCTGCGCCCGCTGGGAGGCTGACCACGACTTCCCCTTTTTCTGGGGGCGTGACGGGCGGGACTGTGAGCGGGCTGGGTGGCTGCACAACTGTTTTGCGGGGTTCGCGAAGGCGAACCAGCAGTTCGAGGCCGCGAGCCTCTTCCTGGACATCAGCAAGTTCTACGAGCACGTGCGTCACGATGTTCGCTGGGCGAATGCAGTACGGTTCGGGTTCAACCTCAGGCTGTTGCGCGGCCTCCTCACCTCCTACCAGGCCCCTAGGATGATCCTCGCGGCGGGCATGGTTTCCCCCGCCTTCGGCACTACGGGTACGGTTCTGGCTGGGTGTGCGTGTGCGACAGCAGTTGCGAAGCTCCCAGTGCTGGGCGCCCTCCTGGCCGCGGGGGCGACGTGCCCGTTGGTCACGCCGAGGAATGTTGTCGACGACATCTCGCTCCAGGCGGTCGGCACGGCCCGACTAGTTAAGCGGCAGATGTTGGTTTCCAGCTGTGAAGTGGTCCGCCTGCTGCGTGAGCAGCACCTCCCACTCAACGAGAGTAAGTCGGTCTTCCTGGCCTCGTCGCCGCAGCTCGCCAAGGAGCTTTCCGAGGCGTGGGCAGCGCAGGGCCTGGCCTTCAAGAGGGGACTGCAGGCGAGGAACCTCGGCACCGACGCCAACATCACTCGTCGAGGCGTGCATGAAGGAGCAGGGCGTGCGGTCGGCGGCCTTCGGCGTGGCCGCAGGCTCGGGGTGCTTCGCTCAGCTGGGGCGGCGACCGAGATGGTCCACCGTGCTGGGCCCACCGCAGCGATGCTGTGGGGGCGTACTGTGACTGGGGTACCTGATAGGGAGCTTCATTCGTGGCGGTTGGCGGCGGTGCGCTCGGCTGGGAAGCTCCCCAAGGGCGCCTCACTCGGGCTGAGGCTCAGGGCGGTGGAGGTCATGCGGTCCATCGACCTCGACCCGAGCCCCGCGCTGCTTCGTGCCGCTGTGCAGATGGCGGCCAGCCTCCTTCAGTCGGGGGAGGTCTCGCAGCGCATGTTCGAGACGGCCGTGCAGGAGGCGGGGCGGAGGCACGAGGGAGCAGCAGCCCCATGGGCGCACTGCCGTACGCCAGTGGATGCCTTGGCCCTCTCGCTCACCAGGGTGGGCTGGAGGCTCGTCCAAGGCACCTGCCTCGCCACCGACGACGGCCACATCCTGGACCTGCGCATGATGGGGCCGCGCGAGCTGGGCCTGCTGGCAGCGGCAGGGGCGCGGCGTGCTTCGGACAGGTCGGAGCTGGCCCGCCTAGGCCACGGAGCGCTCCCCCCGTTGCCCCTGTTCTGGGAGGCCTTCTCGGAGGTCCTCGGGTCGGGCAGCAAGCTCAGCCCCAGGGAGAAGGCGGCGGTGGTGAGTTTCCTTTCCAACGCCCACTGGCCCCAGACCCGTTTGCACTCGGCGGGGGAGAGGGAGCATGCTCGCTGCTGCGCTTGCGATGCACCCCGCGGCAGTCTCTGGCACAGGCTGTTCGAGTGTCCCGTCCTCGCGGGGCCGAGGCGCGACTCTACCTCCGACCGCCTTAGGCGCTGCGCACACCGTGCACGTGGCCGAGGTGAGGAGGCGGGGGAATGCTTTGCGCGCTGCTGGCTCCCTCAGCCCCCGAGGGCCGCACCGAGGTCGGATGCCATGGCTGTCATGTGGCGCAATCGCCCCGCTGACGGTCTCCTCGGGGGGCGTCTCTACCTGGATGGGTCGGCGCTCGACCCCGAGCACGCGAGCCTGCGGCGTGCGGGTTGGAGCATCGTGCAGTGCGACTCCGACGGCAACATGGAGTGCGCGGTGTACGGCAGCGTGCGCCTAGACCTCTGCCCTTTCCAGTCGGCCAAGGACGGCGAGGATTTCGCGGTCTGGATGCTGTCCCGCTTCCTGGGCCCGTGTGTGGACGAGATCCTCATCGATTGTGCGTCTACGGTCAGCTGCCTCACGTTGGGCAAGAGGTACGCGACGGCAGCCAACAAGCCCAATGCCCATCTCTGGGAGGGGATCTACGCTTCGCTGGACGTGGACATGCTCAAGGTTACCAAAGTGGCAGCCCACTGCACCGCCCGTGACGTGATGGATGGCAAGATCACGGAGGCGGACCTCCGCGGCAACGGTCATGCCGACCGCTGGGCCAAGGCAGGTGCGGAGCTGCACCGCTCCAGCCCCGAGGCCAGGCGTGAGTTCTTCGGCACGATGGAGGTGTGAGGGAGCTCTCATGCTGGGTGGCGCAAGCCTCCCTCATCTGGCAGGGGATCGAGGTCAAGGACTGCGAGGGCCTGCCCGAGGGCAGCGAGCGGACGGCTGTTTCCTTCGCCGCGCCCGTGGTGGAGCCCGCCAGCAGCCGCCAGTCCGACTCGGGCTCGGGCGACGGGTGGGCCTCGGCGGCGCGCGCTGGTGGAGCATCCCTCGGTGCGACGGCCTTCGTCGTCGCTGGCCACGTCCTGGCCTTCGCCAGGTGCGGGGAGGGCGCCGCCGAGCAGGAGCTGATGGCGTGCACCCACTGCGGGGCGTACGCGCGGCTGGGCGGGCGCTCAGGCGCGGCGCCCAAGCTCAAGGAGCAATGCCCAGGGTCTGCTGGGCTTCCCAAGGGCAGGCGCGACCAGAAGGCACGCTGGCTGCAGGGGCGGCATCCTGCTGGCACGCCCCACAGCGGCAGCAAGCGGGTCGGCGCGGCGGTGCCCAGCCTGCGCAAGGAGGACGTAGTGCCGATGGACGCCAGGGTGCGCTTCCTGCAGTGGCTGGGGGTCCGCCCCGAGGATGGTGCCCCTGGCGGCGATGCCGCCGGCGCCAGCCGCGGGCCCCCCAGCGGCGCTGCGGCCGCTGGCGAGGCTGCGGCGGCGTCGCTGGTGCCTGGCCCCGCGGGGGCCTCGAGGGAGGCATGGCTGAGCGCCTACGGCCTGGACGAGGCGAGCCTCCTCGAGTGGTCAGCCGCGGCTGAGGCGGCGCGCGAGGACAGGCGCAAGAGGCGCCGCCTTGCAGATGAAGACGAGGGGTCGTGATGCAGCATCATCATCTTCTTCCTGTTGTGTCCGCCCCCTCTCGTGGCCTGCAGGTCTGCAGACACCTTCACCTTCTTTTGTGAGTTCGTGAGGCAGCACCTTCATTTTGTTGCGTGTTTCAGCCCTCACGTCGAGGTCAGGCATGTTAGCGTTGGCTACGCGTGTGCTGGCCATCACCCTTGAGGTTCGTGGTGTGGCTGCACCGTCATTCTTTGTGTGCGTCAGCCCTCTCGTCGAGGTCAGGCCCGTTTGGCTTTGCAATGCGTGTGCTGGCCTCACCTCGAGGTTCGTGAGGCCCTTCGTCATCTGTTGTGGGTGTGGGCCTCGCGTCTAGTTTGCAGCGAGGCAGGCATGTTGGCCGTGCTATGCGTGCCCCAGCCTCCGCCTGCTTTCTTGATTTCTTTGAAATCTGTGCGCTTCGCGCGTCTGGCGCTTCGCGCCCTCCCCTGCGGTGGCTCCTTCGGGGCCCCTTGGGTTGGCCCTTGAGGCCCTGGGGCCAACGTGCTCCGCGGGCCTCGGGCTCTTTTTAGCCTTCATAGGCCCCGCAGCACACAGCACACACAGGAGCACGGCAGACCACACCTCGATTTTTTGAGGATGTCTCGAGCGAAATGGCCATGATTCAGCCAGAACGTCCCGCTTGCTTCTCGTACCTCGAAGACGCTTCCCGTCATCCGCCAGCGAGTTCCCCGGTGCGGCGCGCACCCCTTAGTTAGAGAAAATTGAGCCCCAGAACCAACGGTGCACGCCGGAGGCGCTTCCCGTCATCCGCCGCCGCGCTTGTGCGGCATTGGTTTGTTCAATGAACGTGGTTTGGGTCGCGGGTGGGTCGCGGGCTCTCCACCTCCACCTGGAAGGAATGCAAAACCAGCCCGCCGCAGGCGCAAAAAAAAATGGTGTGTAGACTGAACGTGGTGTGGGTCGCGGGCGGGCCGCGGGTTCTCCACCGGGAGCGAATGCAAAAGATGCCCGCCGCAGGCGCCGACAAATGTGGTTTGTACCCTGAACGTGGTCGCGGGTGGGCCGCGGGCTCTGCACTTGAAACGAGTGCAAAAGATGCCCGCCGCAGGCGCCGAAAAATGTGGTTTGTACCCTGAACGTGGTTTGGGTCGCGGGTTGGTCGCGAGTTGTTCACGGAGTGGGTCGCGGGCTCTCCACCTGGAAGGAATGCCCAAAAAGCCCGCCGCAGGCGCCGAAAATGGTGGTTTGTACCTTGAACGTGGTTTGGGTCGAAGGTGGGTCGCGGGTGGGTCGCGGGGTGGGTCGCGGGTGGGTCGCGGGTGGGTCGCGGGTGGGTCGCGGGTGGATCGCGGGTGGGTCGCGGGGTGGGCCGCGGGCGGGTCGCGGGGTGGGTCGCGGGGTGGGTCGCGGGGTGGGTTGTGAGGTGGGTCGCGGGGTGGGTCGCGGGGTGGGTCGCGGGTGGGTCGCGGGTGGTTCAAGGGTGGGTCGCGGGGTGGGTCGCGGGTTGGGTCGCGGGTGGGTCGCGGGGCGGGTTGCGGGTGGGACGACGACAACAAACAACAACAAACAACAACAGACAGCAACAAACAACAACAACAACAACAACAACAACAACAACAACGAGAATCCGCACCGCGGAATTCCATTTCAGCCACGCACCCAGGGACAGTGAATGACCGTTCGGCCCCTCACTCTGATAATAATAATAATAATAATCATCATCATCATCATCATCAGCATCATCATCATCATCACCATCATCACAGCAATAATAATACAAATAATAATAATAATAATACTAATAATACTAACATACACACATGCACACATATACACATACACGCAATTTGAGAGTCGTGGGCCGAGCAAAGCCTCAAACCGTTCGAACGTGACCGCCGGCGCGCGCACCGGTTAGGTAAAGAAAGAGGTCGACGACACACACACACACACAACAACAACAACAACAACAACAACAACAGCAGCAGAAGCAGCAGCAACAACAACAACAGCAACAACAACAATGATGTTAAGCTTGCTCGCTCTTACATGCTCGAATGCCATTTAACACGTGCGCCCCAAACCCTGAGTACTCACCTTAGTCGTTTTCGATCGTACCCCCTTTGGGGGTATATCGTCTCTGTCTGCCGCGTGTAGGTGGTGCAGCCCCTAAAACAAGGGGAAGAGAGGACGGATGGAAGAGGGCGGGAGGAGGACGGAGCACGAGAGAGATTAGCAGAAGGGGGGTTAGGAGCAGAAAACACGTGGCAGAAGCAGACGGGCAGATCGGGCGGGTAGATCCTAACGGGCGGGTCGGGAAGGCGGGCCCAGGCAGCCTGGTCGATTAGGCGGGTTGCTGCAGCATGCGTCCTGCATGAATCGCCAGGAAGTCTCGAGCGATACCGAGATTCCCAAATAAATCGCGGGGACATCCGCAGCGAGAGCGTGATTCCTGAGTGTCGAGGGCACGGCATCTGAACATATTGCGATGAACCCCCACGCGAAACCGCGTTTTCTGCATACATTGTGAGGCGCGAGAGCGCGATTTGGAAAGACATTGTGAGGAAGTATCAAGCGGGAGCCCTGTTGTTGTAAACCATGGGTCAAGGCCACACTTTGGTGACATGGTTACCCGAGATGGAGGGTCAACAATAATGACTCGTTAGAAATGGGACTCGAACAACAACAACAACAGTACTAAAAACTAAAAGGTTTTTCGCTGTTTTCTGCTCGCGTGCCACGGTACACGTATATCCCAAACCCTCAGGACCCGCCCTCGTCGTCTTCGATATGCCCCCTTGGGGGTACATCTTCCTTTCCTGCCACGCGCATGCAGCGCAGCCCCAAAGGCAGGGGCAGAGAGGACGGACGGAAGGGACAAGGGAGCGGAGGTGGATCACGAGAGGAAGTAGCAGGAAGGGGGTAGGAGCAAAAAACACGTGGCGGAACCAGACGGGCACATCGGGCAAGCCAAGCGGAAGGCAGGCCAAGGCGGCCAGGTCGAAGGCGGGTTGCTGCAGCGTGCGTCCTGCATGGATCGCCAGGAAGTCTCGAGCGATAACGAGCTTCCCAAATAAATCGCGGGGACATCCGCAGCGAGAGCGTGATTCCTGAGTGTCGAGGGCACGGCATCTGAATCAATTGCGATGAAGTCCCACGCAAAACAACGTTTCCTACATTACTTGTGAGGACGTCCCGCACAAGAGCGCGATTTGGGAATACATCACGAATACCTATAACGCGGGAGCCGTTGTTGTCATTGTAAACGGGGGCCAACAACACAGTTTGGGGACACATCGCTTTCCCTTGTACAGAAATAGGGTGCGACCCCAAGAGAAGCACCTTCATGGAACAACATACCAGGGTTACCGAGGATGGAGATGCAACACCAACACAACAGCAGCAGCAGAAGCAGCAGCAGCAACACCAATCAGTTTAAGACTGCTCGATCCTATCTGCTCGCGTGCCACTGAACACGCCTACCCCACACCCTCAGGAACCGCCCTCGTCGTCTTCGATCATGCCTCCTTGGGGGTATACCTTCCTTACGCGCCACGCGCATGTAGCGCAGCCCCTAAAACAGCGGAAAGCAGGGCGGATAGAACAGGGAGGGAGAAGGATGGAGCACGAGAGAAATTAGCACGGGGTGGGCTAGAAACAGAAAGCACGTGGCAGACCAAAACGGGCAGACTGGACGGACAGACCTTAGCGGGCGCGTCGGGAAAGCGGGCTCAGGCAGCCAGGTCGAGCAGGCGGGTTGCTGACGCGTGGGTCCTGCATGAATCGCAAGGAAGGCTCGACCGATAGCGCGATTCCCAAGTGAATCGTGAGAAAAGCCAGCGCGAGAGCGTGATTCCTGAGTGTCGAGGGCGCGGCGCGTGCATAAATTGCGATGAGGTCCCACGCGAGAGCGCGATTCCTGTGTAACTTGTGAGGTCGTCCCGCGCGAGAGCACGATTGTTGATTAAATTGCAAAGGAATCTAAAGCGGGTTCCAAATCGTGTTCCTGCTAAGTGAGCTTCTGTTCTGCTGAGTGCGCTTCCTATCTGCTTGACCATGTTGCCGGCCCCGCCTCCTGCTACTTGTGTTGCACTGTAGTGCATGCCAAGATGCATGGGGACCCGTAGAAAACAACTCCTCCTCCTCCTCCTCCTCCTCCTCCTCCTCCTCCTCGTGCTCCTCCTCCTCCTCCTCCTCCTCCTCCTCACCTCCTCCTCATCCTCCTCGTGTTCCTTCTCTCCCTCTCTTTATCCCGCATCCCCCGCAGTAGAAGCCGTTGATCCATGCACATCTGCACTTGCATTTTGCATATGCGTTGCACTTGCATGGAGTGCCATTTCATTGCAGTGCACGGCATTTCATTACGACGCATGGGATTACATGTAAGTTGCATCACTCCCCATTGCGTTGCCTCACATTGCGTTGGGGGACAATTGCAACTTTGGGCTCCGAGCTGCCAGAGGCAAGGTGGCCTGGCCCGTTTAGCTTGGGATCTCTTCGCAACTTTGGGATCCAAAATGCAACGCGCGAGGTGGTCTGGTCCGTTTCGCCTGAGACATCCTCGCACCTCTGAGCTCAGAGATGCCCCATAACCTGAGGAGGTACAACCCGTTTCGCCTTAGACATCCTCGCAACTTTGCGTTCAGACATGCCGCGCGCCTGGTGATCTGGCCAATTTTGCCTCAGACATTCTCGCCTGAGACATCCTCCCAACTCTGCGTAATGCCGCGTGCGAAGTGGTCTGGCCGACTTCGCCTGATCCATCTTCGAAACTCTGGGCTCCTAGATGCCGCGCGCGACGAGGTGTGGCCGGGCTCGCCTGAGGATCCTTGCAACTTCGGGCTCAGATGTGCCCTGGCTTGATGCGGTCCCGCCCACTTCGCCTGAGACATCCTTGCGACTCTCGGCTCCTTGGGAAGCCGTCCCCCCTCCCCCTACCCCCCTCTGCGCGTGGCTGAGTGTACAGTCAACCCGTCCAGTAAGGACGCACCAGAAGGCGGCAAGGGTCTTGGAAGGCCATGTCGACACCGTGCGAGCGCGGCGCGGCCGGCGGAAGCGGCCAAGGATGGGCCGAACGAGGAAGGATATCAGGGGCAGCCTTGGAAAGTCGCTCATCCTTACTGTGCGGCTTGACGGTAGCAGCCCTGGGATCGGAGATGCTCTGACCTGCGTTGGCCCAGCCCGATTCGCAGAGGACATCCGTGCGGGCTGACGGCAGCAGGCGCGTGGCACGCCTTGGCCTCGCCTGGAACCCGACAGCGGGGCAGGCACGCTTCACCCTCGGACCACCGGCGGCCGCAGCCCCCGCGGAGCGCCGCCCGGCGGCCGGCCCTACGACGCGCCCTCGAGGCCGGGGCGCCGCGGCGCGGCGCCAGACCGCCCGGCCCGGATCCCCTCGAGTCACGAAACCATCACGAACGGAAGGCGTTTCGCTGGTTTCGGCCTCCTGGGGCTCTTACCCGGGCTTCGGGACCGTGGCAAAAACGGCTCTCTAGATGAAGAACGGGTCCCGAGGAATGGGTCGAGATTTCTGGGGGTCGACGTGATGGGAAAATCCGTGACGTCGGGGGTCTGGGTGCACGGCAAGGCTCGGTAAGTTCGGGCAGCCGGCCTGGGCACTCGAGCATCGTTTCGCCGATCCCTCCCCACTGGCGTGGCCTGGGCCCCACTGGCCAATTTGCCCCTTGTACAGATGGTGATCTGATTATAGGCTGTTCCCTTCGGGCTTCCAGGGGACTGTCCCCAACTGTGGTGGTGGGGTGGTGGGGCTGAGATGCAATGGCCTTGTGGGGGAGGGGATGGGTGAGACGATAATGGGCCATGGTCACTGGCCTGCCAGGGGCCGCTACGCCCGAAGGGCACTGCCCGGCAGCTCCACGAAGCCCTCTGGGGGGGAGCCGCCGGTGCCAGCGTCTGCGGCGTGGGATTCAGCCGCCTGGTGGGAGGACGACAACCCCAGACATCCGATGTGTTGCAAAACTGAAGACGGAAGTTTCCCACTGTCTTCGGCCTGTGGGGGTCCACGCTGGGCCCGGGGCCATCAAAATGAAAAGCCAAGGTCGGGATTTCTGGGGACCGCGTCTGCCTGGCGGAGCAGCGAGAACACCAATTGCGGGCCCAAGACTGGTCCGGCCGGGATCGGTGTCGGTGGACGGTTGGGCTCGTCCAGCCTGGGAGCCAGGGAGGGGCGGCGTCTTCGCCCACATCTCGCGCAGCTCGAGGCAGGCGGGGATCCAGGCAACCGCGAAGACTATGGAAAACAACATATTGACAATCAACACCTGCCCGAAGCGCGTGAAGATGCGTATCTGGAGCCCGCTTTTGTTTGCAATAACGCCCGTGACCAGCCCCTGCGTCTGAGAATTAGCCATTCTAAGACATTCCCAGACGGCGCCGGTGCGAATCGTGACGTGACCCGCCCCCGCAGCCCCTCCCCCCCCAGTCACGCCAATTCTCGCCAGGTGAAAAAAAAAAGCTCCTGGCACAGGAGGAGGAAGGCGGCGGCCCCACAGGTCGTCAAGCAGCCAGAGCCGACCGCGAAGCCGACCTCCCGCAGGGCCTTCCGTACGCCCGAGCCCTGCTGCCTCTCCTGCGCCGAGAGCTCACGTGTGCCAGCGCCGGTCGAGGAGGGCGCGGCTACGCAAAAGGCACAGTCCACAGTACCTGGCCAGGGCCATCCTGGGCCCTGCGTGGTGTACCACGCCTCCTTGGCCGAGGCAAGGATGGTCTGACACCGTCCTGGGGCCCAGGATGGCCCTGGCCAGGCATAGTGGTGGTGCACGCATGCGTTCTGCTGAATGGATGTCTCGATCGGTGCTGGCCACTAATTCCCGTTGCCCTGCCCAGAGAACAATGTGCACTGGCACTGTCCGGGCTCACCTCAATCCGTGCTCTCCTCGATCGGTGCGGGCGCCAGTTTCCTCTCCGCTAAACTCCTGCACGTAGGCCTGCACCACGTGCAGGGGGTAATCGACCGAGAAGCCGCAGAATATGATGAGCGACACGGCTTCCATCAGGCCGAACTCCCACTGGAAGATCGAGGTGATGGCAAACAGGCTGCAGGCGGCCGTGGAGAAGATGGCAAACGTCGCGATCACCGAGAGCTTCGCGTCCCGGGTGAACACCGCGACGGCCACAAGCGCACACGCCACGCTGCAGAGCCAGGACGCCAGCGCGGAGCCCACCACGCGCAGCTCCGCCTCCGCGCGCATGAAAAGCTCGGAGGACGCCGCCGGGGTGCCCAGGCTGTGTGCGCCGCGGTCCGTCGAGAGCCGCTCGGCCTCCCTGTCCACGAACTCCTCCCAGGCTGCCATGTAGGGCTCCGTCGTGCGTCCCGAGCTGTGCGTGTCGAACTCCGCCCGGAAATCCATGGAGAGCCAGGTGACGCCAACCTCTGCGTCGAGCCCGTACCTTCCTTTCATCAAGGCTGGCTCATGGATCGAGAAGTGGTGTATGTCGGACTTCAAGTTCGTGGATGGAAAGCCGCTGTTTCGCCCCCGAAGCCACTGGGCAAAATCTCGCGGCCAGCACGTCGTCTTGAACACCTTCAGGCCTACCTCCTGCTCCACGCGCTCGCAGAAATCTATCAGAGCCTGCTGCGCGGCATGAGGGCGCATGTCGAAATACGGGTCAACCTCGTACGCGCCCGCGCTGCTGGTAGAGGGCAGGAACCCCCACAGCACGGTCACCGTAGAGGTCCTGTCGTATGCCATGCCGCGAGCCTTCACGCCGTGCAGCGAAGGGGCCACCACACGGGGCGGAGCGACAGGCGAACGCGGCGGCGCTGGTGGAGGCGCTGCTGCGGGGGCGAGCGGGCGCGGCGCAGGCGGTCGTGGCGCAGGTGCTGCCGCGGGGGCCGGCGGGCGCCACGGGGGCGGCAGCGGGCGCGGCGCGGGCGGCAGCGGCGCAGGGGCGGGCGGTCGTACCGCTGCTGGCGAGGGCGCAGCGGGCGGCCGCAAGGTCGGGAGGGAAGGGTGCTGGGGTTGTTGCTGGTGCTGGTGTGGGGCTGCTGGTGCTGGTGCTGGTCTTGCGGCTGGCTGCTCCTGAGGGTGCTGCTGCTGGCCGGCCAGCGAGATACCGTTGGCGGCCATCGCCTTCTCCTGCTCGCGGATGTAGCGCTGGATCGTCGCCCTCTTGTCCGGGGGCAGGTTGTGGACGTGGATGTCCAGTTCGACCCTTGGTAGCTGTCCCCCCTCGCTGTCGGAAAGTGCCTCGGTCGCGGAGCTGGAGCTCAGCCGTCGCCCCTCCAGCCAGGACAGCAGCTGCTGAGAGATGCTGGGCTGCCCGTCGACAGGGGGTGCGGCCCTCGCAGCTTCCTGGTGAACGTCGATGTCGATGTCCTCTGGGGGAACGCCGAACTTCGACGCAAGACTGCTGCGCAACACTTCGCTGAAGACCTCGACCTCCGTCTCCGAGTGGCCCTGGACCTCCAGCGCAACCTCGAAATCTTCTGCTGGCTGGATGCTGCCGTGTGCTGACGGCGTTGTCGAGGGAGCCGAAGATGTGCTTGGCCGTGCTGACGCCGTATGCGCCGGGTGCTGCGTTGCTGGCGCATGCCCTCTCGTCGAGGACACCACGTGCGACGGCCGCTGGGTGGTCTTTGGGGAGGCCTGGGCTGGCCCGTGCGTCGAAGAGATCGCGTGCCAGGGCCGCTGGGTGGTCTTTGGGGAGGTCGAGGTCGCAGTTGGCGCTCTTGGCAGGTGTGCTGACGGCGTTGCCGAGGGAGCCGAAGATGTGCTTGGCCGTGCTGACGCCGTATGCGCTGGGTGCTGCGTTGCTGGCGCATGCCCCCTCGTCGAGGACACCACGTGCGAGGGCCGCTGGGTGGTCTTTGGGGAGGTCGAGGTCGCAGGTGGCGATCTGGGCAGGTGTCCTTGCGACGGTGGCACCGGAGCTGGCGAGGCAGCCTGCGAGAGGATGGAGCCCGAGATCCTGGGGGCATCGGCACCATCCCCTCTGGAGGAGAAGGCCGCCATGTGGACCGTGTTCTCGGGGCCGAAGCGGCTCTGGAGCGCCTGAAGGTCACCGAGGTTGCTCCCCTCGGGGAAGAACTGCGGCACGCCGCTGGAGGGCCGGATGTTCTTCACGGAGGCCGCAAGGGCCCCCACCGGAATCACAAGGCCAGCCGCGGATACTAAGCACACGGCGAGGCGCCAGCGCAGGCCGCCGCACTTCTCGGGCGGCGTCGGCAGGCGCTTCTCCGTCTCCTCGACGGCGACGCTGCCGCCACGGCTCACCAGGCTCTCCTGCATCTCCATCGCGCCCTCCGCCACCATCGCAGCGAATCCCGGGCTGCCCTGACCAGCGCCGTAGCGGCGCCTCTCATGCACCACTAGCATGAGAGGGTAAACGGTGGCAACGACCACCCAGTTCACCGTGATGCAGGTCCCCATGAAGAACCCAAACTGCCGCAGCGGGCCGATCGAGCTGGCCAAATTCGCAAAGAACGATACCGCAGTGGTTGCCGACGTGGCGAAGATCGCGGCGCCCGCCTTGCGGCACATGGACCAGAAGCGCCGCGCCAGAGCCATCTCGCCACATCCATGGCAGCGCGAGTGGTGCCATACGTCGCTCACTACGAACACATCGTCAGCCCCGACCCCCATAACGACGAACAGAGATAGAACATTTATCGCAATCATTTGATCATGTCCGTAGACCATACAATACACCGCGTACGCGAGCGGGAACGACAGCGAGATGCAGAAGAACGCCCCGAGAGCGAGGCAAGGCGATCTCAGGTAGACCACGAGATACATCAAAATAAACAGGAATGAGCCAGTCGCCTTTCCGGCGTCGCTCCAAGCGGTGCTCTGGATCTCGTATTGGGATATGTGGTCACCGTAGAAGTACACTTTCAAGTCATCGGTGGAGGCATGTTGAAGGTATGGAAAGAGCTCGTCCGCAACAAACGCTCGAAATATTTGCGCCTGCTCAGCATGCCGATCCTCTGGCCCTGAGTAGCCTGGGTATGGGAGCCCGAAGCGGAAGACGCTCCTCGTTACGTTTCCCTGGAGCATGGTCTGCAGCTCGCTGGTGGAGGCCCCGAAGTTTCTGTCCACAAAGAAGGTGTCCTGCTTGACGATGTTGGCAAGGATCACCTGAACGTCGAACATCTCACTGCCTCTGCCATCGGGGATGATGTCGCCAGTCTTGGGATCCCAGCTGGCGAAAAAGTAATTCACCACCGACATCGGCAGGGAGCACTGGTCGGAATTCAGGAGGCAGTGGCGATGGTAGCCGGGGAGCTCCATCAGCTTCTGCTCGACGTCCCTGATGCGAGTGATCAGCTCGGGCGTGAACAAGTTCCCGCCGTCGGGCGTGGCGTAAATGATCTTGATGAAAAACTTCGGCTTGCTGCGAGTGACATTTGGACGCCCGGAGTGGAAACGAAAAACATGGGCACGATGCTAAATAACAAATGTTGTCCAGAACCGACCGCGGCCACTGTTGGGCAGGCGGCCTTCTGCCTCAAACGAACCACGTCCGCGGCGACGCCGAAAGCTAGTCCTATTCAAAATGGAAGGGGAATGTTGAAGGCGGCCGGGGAACTGAACTAGTTGGGACCCCAGAAAATCGGCCAGGAGGGGGGATAAGGCCAAATCTGCTCAAAATCTGTCTTTGGACCTCTCCCGCGGTCCATCTGGTGCAGTCTTTCACCCTGGATCGAACCTGCCCCACCCCTTCCTGCTTGCAAGGACTAGTAAGTGCTGGGCCACCTCAGACACCTAGCCTGCTCCAGAGAAAATGGGGACGGTCTTTGTGCCCTATTTTTCCGTCGGGACGCACTGACCCGGTTCAATGCAAACCCTGGGTCAGTCGGGCTTTGCAAGATCCCGCAAGATCCAGCAGGACCCTGCAAGATCCTGCGTTCTAGACCGGGTCAATGCACCCGTGGCTACGCAGAGTCCTGCAAGATCCGGCTCTCTGGCTGACCCCCGTTTGCATTGACCTCCGCCTCAAGGCTCCCGATTCCGTGCCGCGCCTCGTCGCGGCGCGCTGCGCCTGTTGCCCGCTCGTTTCGGCGGTGGACAAACCTCACTTTAGTAGACCTCCCCTCAGTGAAAACGGCCTGGGACCGAAACCGACGGACCTGGACCCGCAAAAATGACGGCCGCGACGCCCTCTCGCGAACCGAAAACGGCCACTTCCTCAATCGACGTGTCAGGGTAGGAGGTCTGCCCACCCCCGATCGTTGAAAAAAACACGTTTTCCCACCACTCCGATCGTCCGGCTGGAGAAGCCCCCGGCCAGCCGCCTGCCCTGCGCCTCCCCGGCCTCGCGGTGCTGCGCAGCGCGGAGGCCCTCGATGCGCGCCCGCTGCGGGCCGTCGCACTGCAAGTATGCCTGGAAGTCCTCCTGCGGAGCGGCGGGCGGCTCGACCACCCCCCGAGGGCCTACAGAGGTCAGGGAGAGCCACCACAGCCGTCATCGTCAAAGAAGTCGTCCTCGTCGTCGTCATCGTCCGAGGAGTCGTCGTCGTCGTCGTCGTCGTCGTCGTCGTCGTCGTCGTCGTCATCGTCGTCGTCGTCGTCGTCGTCGTCGTCGTCGTCGTCCTCGTCGTCGTCGCTGCCGCCGCCGCCGCCGCCGCCGTCGTCGTCGTCGTCGTCGTCGTCGTCGTCGTCGTCGTCGTCGTCGTCGTCCACATAGTCGTCGTCCAAATAGTCGTCGTCCAAATAGTCGTCGTCGTCGTCGTCGTCGAGGTCGAGGTCGAGGTCAAGGTCGGGGTCTGGAAGAGCCACCGTCGGGTGCCCTTGAAAACTTGGCCGCGCGCACAGGGGGGAGGGGGAAGGGGGAGGACTTCTTGGAAGGAGGCTGCTTCTTAGAGGACGCCGGCCCTGCGTCTATGGATGAAGCCCGCGCCTTCCAAGAAGCAAGGCTGCTTCTACGAAGCCTTCCCCCCTCCCCCTACCCTCGTCTGCGCGTGGCTGAAAAACGCTGGGGGCACTCTTCTTGTTGGCTTTCAAGATCGGCGTCTGCTTTTCATTTTGGGCGCTGTTGCTGTGACGTGTCCAGGTCCAGGATCGGCCCGTGGCCCACCTGCTCGTATTCTCTTCGCTCTCCTTACGCTTGTAATGCGATGTGGGTCTCACCATGCCGCCTGCCTGACGTCTGCAATCCAGGGCGCCACTGGGTTTACAAAGTCTTGGTCGAATCGAGAGCGGCCTGGCCAGCGGCAGCGCTGATCGGCGGCAGCCCGACCCCAACAGGGACGGACAGGGGACCGACCACGACGACGACGACGACGACGTCGACGACGACGGCGACGACGACGACGAGCGAAAGCGAGAGCGAGAGAGAAAACGACAGCAGGGCCACGAAGGGCACGAAGCAGACCACGAAGGGCGACAGCGGGGACACGAAGGGAATGCGTATTGGGCCACGACGGGCGCGAACGAGCGGGGGCCACGAAGGGCAGATAATGCGGGGCCACAGAAGGCAATCACGGGGCCACTGACTGTAGCAACTGGGCCACGTAGGACAGCGAGGTGGCCACAAAGGGCGACAGCGGGGCCACGAAGGGCATGCACATGGGGCCACGACGGGCGCGAACGAGCGGGAGCCACGGAGGGCATAGGTATATTGGGCCGCGGAGGGCAAGGACGGGCCAGTGAGGGCAGCAAGGGGGCCACGAAGGGCAGCGAGAGGGCCACGAAGGGCTGCAACGGGGCCACGAAGGGCATGCACACGGGGCCACGACGGGCGCGAACGAGCGGGGGCCACGAAGGGCATACAGATATGGGGCCACGAAGGGCAGCGAGAGGGCCACGAAGGGCTGCAACGGGGCCACGAAGGGCATGCATACGGGGCCACGAGGGGCTGCAACGGGGCCACAAAGGGCAGCGATGGAGCCACGAGGGGCTGCAACGGGGCCACGAAGGGCAGCGAGGGGGCCACGAAGGGCTGCAACGGGGCCACGACGGGCAGCAGCGAGGAGACCACGAGGGGCTGCAACGGGGCCGCGAAGGGCAGCGAGGGGGCCACGAGGGGCTGGAACAGGGCCACGAAGGGCAGCGAGGGAGCCACGAGGGGCTGCAACGGGACCATGGAGGGCAGCGAAGAGGCCACGAAGGGCTGCAACGGGGCCACGAAGGGCAGCGAGATCCCGCTCCCTAAATAATCTGTGAGGGGGTCCTAAACGTGAGCGCGACTCCTGAGTGCCTGAGTGTCGGGAGCGCGGCGCTTTGATAAATGTTGGAAATTCCAACGCAAGGGCGCTGTTCTTGAGTAAATTACCAGCAAGTCTCCAACGAGAGAGCGACTCCAGCGCGCCGAGAAAGCGATTCCTGAATCAATTGTAAGGCAGTCCCAAGCGAGAGCGCGATTCCTGAATAAAATGCGAGGAAATCTCGGGATGGAGCGGCGGTCCTGGCTAAATTGTGAGGATGTCTCAGGCGGGAGCCGTTGTTGTAACCCGAGGGCCGGCAACGCAGTTTGAGGAGGAAGACTTCCCCTGATAAAAAAACAGAGTGCGAGAGCTGGGCGGGGCACCTCAATTGAACAAAAATCAATGTGCACCAGAGGGGGGACCAACAGTAGTTATTCTTCAATAGTGAGACTTCAACAACAATTGCAACAACAACAACAACAACAACAATCATTTTACCCTCATGCGCCATGCTTCCACATGACACATGCATCCATCTGGATAACACACCCCATCATGGGGGATTTTTCTGGCATGCGGGATCCGATATTCCCTCACCCAGATATCCCGCCCAAGCAGGTTTGGCCACCACCTCTTCCGAGGAACTTCAACATCCATAGCTCGGACGGCACATCGCCTTCGCAATCGCCTTGCGCATGCCCCGCATCTCAAAGGGAAAGGAAGAGGAAGAGGAGGGGGAGATGAGAGAGATAGGGAGGGGGAGGAGGAGAAGGGAGGGGGAGGAGGGGGAGGAAGGATGAGTAGTTGTAGTAGCAGCAGTTGATGATATTGTTGTTGCGGCTGTAGCACTAGTAGTAGTGGTAACGGTAGTAGTAGTCCAAGTAAGTAGAACTGGCTTGTGGCAGCCAAGCGTTCATAGCGACGTTGCTTTTCGATCCTCCTTTAATGTCTTCTCTCCCTATCCTTGAGACGCAGAAGTCTCAAAAAGTTTGATGGTTCAGCACATCCAGGAAACCTATCGCTGGACCGGCCCAGATATGGTTCCAGAAGCGGCTCGGGAAGCTGCGCAAGCGCCAGAAGCAGAGAAGCACCACGTACGGGCGCCGGCTCGGGCGTCCGGCCCAAAGCCGCTCCAGAATCGGCCCAGGACGGCTTCCCGGGCGCCGCAAGCAGAAATTCAGCATTTTCGAAAGAAAAATGTGTATTGGAATGGCCTCTTTTCGGCGCGATCGGAACTGCCCGGGCGTCTGGCCCGGGAGCCGGGCCGGGTGCCGGCCGGGCCGGGTGCCGGCTCCGGAATCGGCCCGGACGGCCTCCCGGGCGCCGGAAGCAGAAATTCAGCATTTTCGAAAGAAAAATGTGTATTGAAATGGCCTTTTTTCGGCGCCGCCTCGGAACTCGATTTTCTGGCGCCCGGGCGCCGGCTCGGGCGCCGACCCGGGCGTCCGGCCCGGGAGCCGGGCCGGGTGCCGGCCCGAGCTCCGGAATCGGCCCGGACGGCCTCCCGGGCGCCGGAAGCAGAAATTCAGCATTTTCGAAAGAAAAATGTGTATTGGAATGGCCTTTTTTCGGCGCCGCCTCGGAACTCGATTTTCCGGCGCCCGGGCGCCGGCTCGGGCGCCGACCCGGGCGTCCGGCCCGGGAGCCGGGCCGGGTGCCGGCCCGAGCTCCGGAATCGGCCCGGACGGCCTCCCGGGCGCCGGAAGCAGAAATTCAGCATTTTCGAAAGAAAAATGTGTATTGGAATGGCCTTTTTTCGGCGCCGCCTCGGAACTCGATTTTCCGGCGCCCGGGCGCCGGCTCGGGCGCCGACCCGGGCGTCCGGCCCGGGAGCCGGGCCGGGTGCCGGCCCGAGCTCCGGAATCGGCCCGGACGGCCTCCCTCCCGGGCGCCGGAAGCAGAAATTCAGCATTTTCGAAAGAAAAATGTGTATTGGAATGGTTTTTTTTCGGCGCCGCCTCGGAACTCGATTTTCCGGCGCCGGGCGCCGGCTCGGGCGCCGACCCGGGCGTCCGGCCCGGGAGCCGCTCTCGGCGGCGAGCAAGAGCACCGAGCCCGAGTAAAAAAGGAGGAAGTCTCGAGCCG